GGATTATTAATAATCTAAAAGTTTATTACTATTATGTTTAGTTATAATACCTAGTCTACTATACCCTCGATAGCGAAGACGTTGTTAAAAAGACTACGATATTATAAGTAGTGTACTAGGTTCTTGATATATAGAGGTACAAAATTAGGATTGAAATTATTAATAATTATTAGAAGAAATTATAGTTATTAGGACCCGTATATAGTTTAGAACGACGACCTTCTGATTGGGACGAGGCTATTTACGTATAGTAATTAATAGAAGAATTCGTTAGAGTTAAGCGGGTTAAAAATGTAATAAATATTATTAATTTTATTAATCTATTAGAAGAGTAAGTTTGTAAGGACCTTCAAAATATCTTCTAGTACGTTATTGAAACCTTTTTTAAAGTCTAGGAATTAAATAATAGCGATAATAATTAGGATATTAAAATAGTAGAAATTACTATTGTAGAAGTACTTAAAGCTATTACTATTGTTATTTAGTATGAAGAATAATAAGAAAATGTAGATATAGTATAATTAGCGATATTTAGAAGGCGCTAGAAATTATTATTCTAGGACTAATTACGCTCTAGGGATGAAAAAAAGCAATTAACCTTCGATTTGTATTTTACAAACGGTTCTATAGTAAAATTGCTATAGTAATTAGTTATTTAATATAAGTACGTTGTTCTCTAGTCTTTTGAACCCCCTGTTAGTAGAAATGTGGGCACTAAAATACCCCAACCTTATATTAACGATATTCTGGGCACAACGATCAGAATACTAGAAACACCCTTGATCGTTATGTGCAGGTTAAACAGTACCTCTACCAGTACACTACAGAATACCTCTACACATGCCGGTTCAGCTGCTGACTGCCCTGCGCCAGCACGGCCAGGCTGTCAACCCCTGTACCCCGCTTAAAACTCCACTGGTTCCTGCCCCTGTCGGTCAATTGTAAAAGTAAACAATGGGCGGGCGGGACGGGAGCACCGCCTTCCACTTCCACTTCCACTTCACTTGCAGTTTCCCAATCACTCCAACCATTCAACAAGCAGAGGGCGTCGCACACACAAAGTGCAACCATGCACGCAACCTGTTGTGGCTAGCTTCCCGATTTTCTCTTTTTCCCAACTGTCTTCTTCAAAGCCCCTTCCTCCTCCGATCCAGACAGAGGACAACCTGAACCCTTCAACGCTTGTGTGCGCCGGCCACCGACATTGAATCTTGTCCCATACATCAACTTGCTGGTCGCGTGACAACACCTAACGACGGCCATTCCAGTCCACAACTCTCTCATCTTGACCTGGGACAACCACATTCGATCGCAACGAAGCCGGACATGTAAGTAAGCCCACCACCACTCCTTCGAGCTCCCAACGTCGTGCGTCTTCGCGAGCTGTCAAGAGCGCCCTGGTGCGCCAGCTGCTGCATGTCTTTGCGCCCTTGTCCCTTTCGCGTATTCCGGGTTACACTGAGGACTAAGGCTGACACACACATGGCAGACTTCTGCCGCTCTCTAGTACTTCTGGCTGCCTTCATGGCTGCCCACGAGCACTATAGAACAACCTGATATTCGAACTTCAAGGCCCCTTCATATTTTGCGACCGTCTGCAGGCTTATTGACGACATCTCTCCGAAAACATCATTCAGATTTATCCGGTTACGGTCTCGTCACGGAATGGATGAAGCACCGCCGCCTCCTCCGCCGCCCCACGGCAAGAATCCCAAAACATCGGCTGGCTCAAGTGCTCTTCCGCCTCGGAAATACGATGTCTTTATCATACCGGAGCACTCTGCTGGCGCGGGGTTTCTATATCTACCATCCTTGCAACCGCAGTGGAACAGCTTCTGTGCTGGTGTCATCTCCACCCTCGCTGCACTGCTCCTAGGGAAGGCGCTGACGCCGGCTTTTCTGTCATGGTGGCACAGCGGGATGGGCAGTGTTGGGCTGTCAGTACTCCTCGTGGTGGTAGCGGTGGGATCTTGGTCTCTCGGCCGATCTACAAGCAACGTAAAGCTGGGGTCGGGAAGCGACTGGCAAAAGACAACTGGCGAATCCGATGCCTCTGGGGCGTTCAAGACAGCGTCCCCTCATGAAGACTTCAAGTCTACGCACGCGCCGCCACCACGTCCCCCTACACCTCCCACGGATCCCGAGACTCCGGCCGATGAGTGGTCGCGTCCTTCGTGGAAGGAGAACAATGACGCGGAACCGGAACCACATGTTGAGCCTGAGCCGGAGCCGGAACCCAAGGCCAAGCACAGACCACAATCCCCAACACAAACTCGATCGCACAAGAGACCGCAGTCTCCCACACAGACAAGGTCACACCGGAGACCTCAGTCCCCTGTCCAAACTCGGTCCCACACCAAGTCCCAGTCTAAATCCCACTCCAAGACACAAGCAAGATCGCAGCCGAAACACCAGCCACCGCCAGAGCCTGAGCTTCGTCCTGAAGATGATCCGGATTACGAACAGGAGCCAGTGCCGGAGCCGCCTAGACATGAGTCCGTCGACTCTCAAGAGCCTCCGCATGGGCCTCCCACTCCTCTCGACCCTGAAAATCCAACCAAGTCGGAAGTTTCCTCAAAAGGCGCATGGGAAAAGGCGAGAGAGGAGACTAGAAGGCGGGAGGAGGAGCGTAAGGCCAGGGAAGCCGAACTCAAGAGGCGCGATGATGCAGCTCGCCGTCTGCGTGAGCTCCGAGAACGTGATGCGCGTGAGCGCGAGAAACGGGAGAAGGAGGCCCGTGAGAGGGAAGAAAGAGAGAGGGAGCGCAAGGAACAAGAGGCTCTGGAGAAAGAGCGCCTGGAGCGCGAGATTAGAGAAAAGGTGGAGCAGGAACTGCGCCAAAAGGCCGAATGGGAGGCCAAGGAACTCGCTGCTATAGAAAAGGAGCGATTAGCAAGAGAACGGGAGGCCAAGGAACGCGAACGCCAAATCAAGCTGGAACAAGAAGCCAGACAACGTGAACGGGAGAGGCTCCTGCGCGAGCAGCTGACGCGTGAGCGCGAAGCCAGGGAGCGTGAAGCCAAAGAACGCGAGGAAAAGGACCGCGAGGCCAAGGAGCGTGAAGTGCGCGAAGCCCGTGAGCGGGAGGAACTGAGACAGAAGGACGAGGCCATACAACGCGAGGAAGAAAGGAAACGGTTCGAGAGGGATCGGCAAGAGGCGAGGGACCGTGAAGTCCGGGAAGCCATCAGGCGAAGGGAACGGGAGGTTCGTGAAGCCCGCGAAGCACAAGAACAGAGGGATCGGGAGGAGCGCCTTGAGCAGCTTCGGCGAGAAGACGAGGAGATGGAAAAGGAGAAGGAGAGGCTTGCGCGCAAGGAAACACCGTATGCGATGCCAAAGGTTGGCGAAAGGACCAGCTTGTGGCCAAATGGCAGACCACCTTCGATTGTTACTCCTTCGGCCACCGCCTCGCAGACTTCTCATGCTTCCACCGCTCGTACTTCCACCCCGCGCGCATCGCCTGCGCCACCACACTCGCCCACAAAATCGCCCAATCCAGCGGCAGCGAGAACAGCATCACCAAAGCCCGCATCCCCCAGACCAGGTTCGAGTGCAACAGGCACTGCTGACGAGTACTCTTACCGACCATACGACAAGCCTAAAAACCCTGCCGCGGCCCGTAAAAAGTCGATCTCGGATCTCTCAGAGGACTCGTACGCTCAGTCTGCCACCACCAACAACACCAGCCCTCCGCCTTCGATGCGGGCTCCATACCACACTGACGATCCTGGCAAGATCGTCATCAAGGCCGTATATAACTTCGTCAACCAGTTTTCGAAAACCCCTGCCTCGCAGCTTATCTCCGGCGTCGGCACCGTAACCGACGGGCTCATCCTCCGCATCTCGACCGCAGGTCTTTTCGTGGATGACGATGTGCGCGGCGTTGCCCAACGAGAGTGGGACATCAAGGCCTGGACCCTTAAGCAGGTCGAGGTCTGGTGTCCTGTGCTCGCTGCTAGCTCCGCTAACGGCACAGGAGTTGCCTCGGGGGCCATCCCATCCTCACACCCGCTCTTCAAAATGATGCCCACAAGCAGCGCCATGCGCCGCGCGGCCGAGAAAGCCGCTACCAGGGCCTTCAATGGCGAGGAGGCCGTGGCCTACCTGAATGAATTGGGTACCTGCTGCAGTACGAACTGCCGGTTGGGCCTGAATGCTAACAGCTCGGGCTCTTCGGCGACTGGGTCGGCTGCTTCGCAAGAGGCGGACGGATGGAAGTTCCGAGGTCTGCATCTCCTTCGAACATCGATCCGCGATCAGGAGGGCAAACGTTTCTTGTTTGTCGTCGGCGAAGAGGAGGCGTGGAAGATTGCAAAGGGTCTTCAGTCGCTTCGGAGCGGTAGCCAGGCACGGGCTGTCGCGGTTTCCGGCTTCAGTGGGATTGAGGCCAAGGGCATTCTTGAAACACTGGGTTGGAGTTAGTATGTCCGGACCTGAAATGTTTGAGTAGTGTCGATATCGGTTAGCGATCATGTGAAGGATATGAGTGGTTTGACTTTGTTGATGGTTGGTTGTCCTGTCAGTTGAGCGATATACCCAAATCTTTGGCTGGCAAGTTTCTGGTTGAGGAGAAGATGGGCAATTAAGGGAGAAAATGTAATGAGGTACGATGCTGTATTTTGTATTTGAAAGGAATGTTCGAGTGATGATCACGAATTGCTTTGGTTGTCATTTGGCTGCGAGGCAACCTCAGATACATTCCAGTAAACATGAGACAGGACTTGATGCTACATCTGGTATTTGACTAATGAACATTCTTGAAATAAGATGCCATCTCAAATGAATTGATCATCGACGCTGTCGACTAATGGGGTCACACCAACTTGCCGGTCCGAAGTGCTCATTTATATGTATCTCAAAGTCTCAACTGGTTCCAGATACCCTTCTCAGATCTCCAACCCTTCCTCGCTCTCGTGAAGACAAGACAAAGAAAAGTACCTAGCCCTGAACTCCACCCACCAAACTCCCATCCATCCATCTCTTTCCTTTCCGTCTTCTTACTCCTTCAGCCCCCGCAAATCAACTTTAATATCCAACGAACTCTTCGCCAAAGTCTCCCCATTCCAGCTATCCTCAGCACCCTTCAATTTTTTCCCCTGCGCTAAAGTCACCGTGGCTATTTTCTCATCATCTTCTTCTTCAACCTCCTCCGAATACAACCACATCTCATGAGGATGAAGCTTTGTAGCAGCTCTTCCTTGAAGTTCGACTGCGGTGGGTCCATTCTCATCATTCCCGTCGTTGTTCTTGTCGTCGCTGTCGGCAGCAGCCATGGCGGTGGTGGCGTCCGCAGAAGAAGGAAGCGGAAAGCACAAGGGCCCTGGCTGGACTGAGGTCGGGAAACCTGATGTTGTGAGGGCTTGGGTGACGAGGGTGATAAGGGATGTGTCGGTCACTTTTGTTGCGGGGGGTGTTAGTGGGTGGTTTCTGCGGTGGAAAGGTGGTGGAAAGATGATGGAAAGATGATGGAAAGGTGGTGGAAGGGTAGGGAGGGTAATGGAAGGGTAAGGGAAAGGTAATGGAAGGGTAATGGAAGGGTGGTAGAAGATGGTTGAGGGAGGTAAAAAAAAAGGAGGGAGGACGATGGAGGTGGTGAGTGTAACTTACTTCGTGGTCCAATCACCGACGCAACGACAGGCGAATAAGTCTGTTCATCACCGAGCCATTCACCGGGGTTTTGCGTGACTATCATTGTGTTCGAAACGTGCATGTCAGTGATAAGAACTGGCACTAAGAGGATATAACGAGATTGAGATGAAGTATTCTAGGCGGTGGGGGTTGCTTACATGGTACCGAAAGCTGTGGTGTCGTTGTCTGGGGAGATAGCATGCTGAATTCCGCGCAAAGAAGGAAAAATCCAGTCAGTAACTCTTCACCCACACTGATAGGGTTGTTTCTTGATAGGGTCACGATGTACTCACTCCTCAAACACAAACATCCGTCCAGAGAACCCTATGATATGATCCCGGTGAAAACTAGTGTCCGGCATCACGATGATGGTATCGCCGGTACTATGACATGTAGCGGTGTCTGGCTTAGTCGCAAGGATGTGCTGCTCGAACCAGTCTCGGAATATCTTGACTTGGTTTTGCAATTCTTTCTGCTGCTCTACGTGGTCACGGGCTGAGGACCTGTTGAAACCGTCAGTTATACTTTAGCATTGTGTTTACCTTGATTTGGTAGCGTTGATGATCTGTTGATGGAGGGAAGGACGTAAATAGGTAACTTACCAAAGAACCTGCGCCTCAAGATCAACAATCCCGCGGCTGAAATGGAATTTTGCTTGGTAGTCTTTTCGGAAATTGGCGTATTCGTGGTAGTGGCTTAGCTGGTATAGAAATCGTGCGGTCTTTTTGAAGCATCATGAATTTGGTTATTAGCCCAGGGTAGTGGGTTAAGAATTCAACTTTGAAGACAAAATAAAAGCTCTGAGCGTACCTTACTGAGAAAGAAATCTATGCCACTCTTAACCCGGTACTTCTCCCACTCTTCATCGAGATTGATAGTCGTCCTATCCACGTTCAAATGGCGTTCGAGTGCATTGACGAATACATCCATTGCGTATTCCGATTTCTCGTCCTTGATATAGTCCAGATAAAGGATCTTTTTCACGTTGCTGCCGCTTGACTGCTTTGTTGGGGCGGTAAGAGGAGAGAAGGTATATTCGGCAATGGTTGAGAGGTCGTGTAAACTCCGACCAAAGATACCCACGCTGTCATATGGTCCCGGGCTTGACTTGTCGTGTTCCACCGTCAACGAACGTCGCAAACCATAGAGCCCATATCTCTTCCCCGATTCTCGTACCGCGCTGTCCACTGGGTTTTTTTGAATGAAGCCTTGTAGTTAGCTAAGCCGCTTTCAATTTTCTTTGCATCCAGATGAGACCTGTACTCACCATTCCCACCAACAGCATACTCAAGCCAACCATACCCAGCCAAAGCAGACGCCGAGCCCACCCCAGTCCCTCTACAATCAAAGATATTCCCCTTCCTCGCCGCCCTTGGGTTAGCAGGGAAATGCGTCTCCGGCCACATAGAATTTCCAATCCTCAGCTGGCTAGTCTTCGTCTTCCCCACCAATACCGCTCCCTCTTCTAGCAGCCTCTGAACATAAGCATCAGTCTCCGTGGCGGGCGGGTAGGTGTCCACGTAGGCTTTGCAAGAGAGTGTGGTTTGTGTGCCTAGGAGGGAGAGACCGTCTGTTAGGGTTATACGTTTTCCCCGGATTGGACTTGGTCTTTTTTGTCCGCGGGTTGTGAGGCGGGTGTAGTGCCGGCTGGGAACGGGAATCGTTTTGGACATGCTGTCTGAAGCCAGGAAGGAGACTGCTTGGAAACCGGAGGGGTTGTGGACGTCGTTGGGGATCATGCCGTAGACGAAGGCGTCCTGGGTATCGGGGTATAAGCGGTAGGCTTGATGGAGGTTTGGGCCGCTGAGGAAGTAGGGGCCTGAGGGGAGATTATCGTCATCTTGGGCTTCGGGGTTGTCTATGCTGGATATTGGAAGGATTGTCTTTTGTAGGCGATATGTTGCTTTGGACGGGTAAGAGCTGTCATCCTTTTTCTCCATGAATAGGTTTCTACTGCTGTCCTTCGATGGCTTCTCGACTAGGATGTCAGTGAAAGTGGGCGAGCATACATCGTCTGTCTCGACGTAGTACTGGAGAAGCTGGCCGATTTGATCCGGTGTGCCGTTGAGCTCTTCTTCGGTCAGGAGGAGCACGGGAATCACTTGGTCGGCTTTGATCGGTGCTTCTGTACTTCCCTGTGAGCAGCATCAGTATCAATCTTGCAAGGGTGTGTGAACCAGAGAGGGCGACTTACCAGAACTTGGGGGTGCAGCAGATACTGCATGCCATCGACCTCGCAGGTGATGAGATTGGGAACCGACATCTTGATTTACTAGACGCTTCCCTGTGAATCCTTTACCAATTCTCCTCAAACGAGGATGTGATGGAAGATGAGTAGAGGCGATGGAGAAAAGATGAAGTGAAGTAGAGCTGAGACTATGCTCGATGATGTGGAAGCGGGGTTGGCGTCTTATAGCGATACTACTGTATCAGGGGACCTATCAGGTACCTGAAATTGGGTGACAGCAGCCCTGAGATAGTGTGTGGTACCTGATGCACTGCCACCTCACAATTGTTTCTCTCCAGTTTCGTTTCACCCCAGCAGGTGTCTGGTGGTTACTTTGGTTTCTTATAAACCATCTCAACATCTTTACATTGACGAGTTCAAGTATTCTTTGTATTCCAAGTATATATAGAAATACATATTTTTACCACACCATGCTCGTGGTGAACCAACCCATGCCTCACCCCTCCAACTCCGCAAGTAAACAAACCTCCAAACACCCTTGCTCCTGATCATCGTGGTCATCCCCTTGTCCCATGACATTGTCACTATCTTCCGACAAGCGAACCAACAGGCGGTTTCAGGGAGCAAGCGAGAGCTATCCATAGGACTCACTTCAGATAAAAGGCATTCTATCATGACGGTATTTCGGTGTGTGTGTCGAGTGTGCCCGTTAATTTGTAGGCGATGCCGAAGGGCGGCTTGAAAGCTGGCGTTCCTTCCAGTCTCGATAAGTGTAGCTTCCTCAAGTTGGCGATGACTTGCTCCTTTGGAGTCTCCCAATAGACCATTCCTATGTACCGGCCTGGCAGGAAACCACAAGCCGGTTGGCAACAGCAATGAATGACTTTATGAATGGCCAGCAAAACTGGAAAACCCCTGTCTTCATATCATCTTCCTTACACAAGATATCCAAACACTCAACTAACCTAACAATGAGTGAGAATCAGAATCCAAATGCTAATAGTATATCCGCTTACAACGACCCGACAACCCGGCAACCCTTCAAGCATAACAATCTTAAATCAGCCAAAAAAACCAGCCATGTACTCCAGACCGAAACAAATCCCATAATGCAACATCCGCATACAACAGCTCGCTCACTTCCCATCTCCTCCACCCAAAGCTCCCGCCAAATTCATCGAAGCGTACGCATCCCTCTTCCAGCTCTCATCCCCACTCCCAGGTCCATCATCGTCATCATCGCTGGTGATGGGATCGGCATTGACGACTCTGAACCCTCCCCTCTGTCCTTGTCTGCCTTCTACGCCTCCGTCGTTGATGTCGTGAACAGAGGAGAACCCAGCATCCCAAGCGCTGAGTTGTGGATGGCCATTTACAGCTGGAAGGTGGATTTGTGGGGCACCGCTTGCGGTGGGTTGTTGTTGTTGATACTGTTGGTGAACCTGGGGCGGGTAGCCTTGATAGACTTGGTTGTTGTTATACATGTCCTGGCCGTGAACCGGTTGTTGGTATCCCTGATCGTAAATCGGAGTCGGGAGTTCACTTGGTTCGCTGTCGCCGAAGCGATCAAAGTCCGCCAACTCATAACCGTGCGCCGGGGGTTGTTGTCGCTGGGGATACATGGAGCTGATCCGTTGGCGCGTGGGCGTCTGGTCTGCATCGCCGTACCCTTGGTAGCCGCCGTATTGCCCGCTGCGGTTGGAGTAGGTGATTGATCCTCGCCTGCCATCGTTACCGGCGGGCAACTCCACTGGTCCGTGCTGCTGTTGTTGGTTGTGGAACTGCTGCTGGCTTTGGATGCTAAGGCTGGCCATGTCCTCCAGCACTCGCGCTTGCTGCTCGGCCTCCCTTTGCTCGAGGATCTGAGGCGCGGGCTCGACGTTCCGCAAGCTGCTGGATCCGGCACCCTGGGATTGTTGTTGCGCGCCTAAGCTGCGGTGGCTGATTGCCATGCTCGCGCGATGGGCAATCTCTGGAATATCTGACATACTGCCGGGATGGTGACCGCCGCCTGATTGCTCGCCAGAAGACGTGCCTGGAAGGCCGGCGGCGGTGGCGCTGTCCATGTCCTTGATGGCAAACTGGGCAATGGTGCGCATCTTGCGACTCACCCAACCAGCGAGGATCTTGCCGCGTTGCTTTTCACCAAGACGTGAGCGGGGGAAGTCGCCCTTGTTGACAAATGCGACAATGTCGGCGATGATTTGGTGCTCGTTGAGGATGGCGTTGACAATGACTGGGACGATGGAGGCAAGGTAGGCTTTACGGGCTACCTCAACTAGGACCACCACAAGTCCGCCTGCCTGGAAGACCGCGCTGTTACATATCTGTTAGTATTTTCCAACATAACGCTGAATTTGGAAGTAACGAAGACTTACCAGCCACCCGGCACAATGACCCTATGACACCTCTCAACTGAAGCCTCAATGTCCATTGGGAAGTGACTCAAGCCATTAATCTCAAACGTTTCACCAATGCTTCCCAGTACGAACAAAACCTGCATGTCCACGAGCGCACCTCCTGGGCCAATCGGCTTGCTAACATTATGTAAGAATCCAAGATCGCCGGTCCTCACATAACGAATACTCGGGTCTTCAACCGTGCGACCGTTGAATCTTTCCACGTCGAATTGGTCCTTGGAGCCATAGAACGACGTTACGCAAGCCTCCGAGTCCACCCAGATCTCACCATATTCACCATCACTGCACAGCATCCTGCTCTCCGGGTTGACGATGGCAATCTGTGTGGACACTGGTACCATGCCGCTGTCTTGGATAACCAAAGCCTTGGGATCCCGTAGGGGATCCGTCGGATAGATGAGACCTTGTCGCAGGGCTTTAGGATCCAGGTGAAGTTCTATCGGCTCGACGCACATGTACGACCGGGAAGCGATCATGGGGTTCAGAACATGCGAGTAGACTGTGTTGATGGCGGTACGATCCAGGCCGGTAGCGTCGAAGTGGACACGAACCCTGGTAAAAAGGTCAACGCGAGGGCGGGATTCGCACGAGATCATCATGTTCTTGAGCTCGTGCAGCGTGAAGCCCTTGCCGGGAATCATGCTCATGGCGTGGTCAAGCATCTGCGGGGTGGCGTAGGTGTCTTTAATCTTGTACCGAGAGAGGATGAGGAAAAGAGAGACGGGATTCTGGGCAAACTCAACAGGGGAGAGTAGGTAGGTAGGCGTGCCAATGTAGATGCCCATGAGACAAGTGTGGATGAAGCCTAGACCTGTGGTACTACGCACGCAGCCTAGGACAGGGCGAGAGCTGGACATCTGGCACGTCTCCTTCTGTACCTTGCACATACCCAGGATGGTGTCGTGGCTTAGCTGGACTGCCAGGCGCCGCTGATCCGGTGTCCAGTATGTCCAGATAACGACGGGATAGCCTGACTTGACCCATGACGGGTCAACTGTGATGCCTAGATCGCGTAGACCACTGTTCTGCTTCGGCGGTTTGCTGGTATTGTAGACGTTCGGAACCTGAACCTTCAAGAACTGAGCCGACTGCTTGATGTGCTGTGCAACAGGCTTCGTCTTGAGCAAGTGGTCTACATCCTGGTTAACCAAGACAGCCTTGACGCCATAGTCCGCGACCAGATGAAGGAAGGCAGGGACATCTTCGGATAGACGGTTTTGGTCCATCGGCGCAACGGGGATGATAATGGCACCAAGGTTGATGCAGGCGTGGACGGCAAAGACAAACTCTTCGGAATGAGTGTACATGAGAACGACATGGTCGCCAGCCCGAATCTTGATCTTGTTCCTCAAGTATAAAGCAACTGCTGCTACCTTTGTGTCGAACTTCTTCCACGTGATCCCCTTGCCTTCCTTGCCACGACCATCAATGGTGCAGTACGCCAATTCCTCCGGCTGCCTTGCCACTCGCCATTGGATAAGGTCTGTGATGCTGGAGAAGTTGTTGAGAGGGGTCGACGTCCTGTCGTCAATGACCACCTCTCTCCGGTCGATGCCCGAGTACTGTTTGTCGGCAGGGGCAAGAATCTGTTGTCTGGATTCCGAAGCCATAGGAGACCAAATGCCGCCGATTGGGTCGACACCGATGGGCAGGTTCAGCACAGCATGCTCAACGGCAAACTTAACATGCACACAAGGAAGATTACCCTGGTCGAACTCCCTCCTGCAAAGCATGTTGCCAATCTCCTTGCGGCCATTTTTCATCACCCGTGGGAGAGCATTCGGTGCGGTGATCATGACACAGTACACACGAAGGTGATGCTCTTGCATCAGCACATCCATGCACCTTTCGGCCAGCGAGTCCAAGAGGGCCGTGTCCAGCTGCCGAGGCGGTCCTCCACTCGTAGCCGGAGCTGTAGAGGCAGCTTGGGATTCAAGGACCACGACAGGTAAATGTTCCTCGTTGACAAACACGTCAAACGCTGAGCAATCAAAGATCTTGGGTACGTTCTTCATGATGCTAACAACCATGTGCTGCACAAAGAAATAACGATACTCTGCCACCTCGGTTCCGTGTTCAACCCATTCCACCTTTTGCCGGATACGATCCTCGTACAGGCCAAGCACGAAGACCTTGCCCTCTATAACGGTGCCTAGCAGACCAGTTCGAAGATACTCCAGCTCGGTCGGGGTCGGAAGCGTCGAACCGGGCTCGAATGTGAAAGGTCGAGCATGGAAGATCTGTTCAGTGTGCTTTGGCAGTGCCCAGAACCCACCAGACAGTGAGGGAGAATCGACCCAGATCTCTCCCACAGTATGCGGCGAAGCGAGGAGGCCAGTCTCCGGGTCGACAATAGCAAGAGAGGCGTCGGGAATCGGGTAGCCAAATGCGCCAACGCGAACCGTCCCTAATTCGCTGCTAGCCTTCTTGCTAACATCTGCGCCTATTGCCACAACCACCACCTCATTGGTTTTCAATGCCTCTCTATCGAGTAGCACCTCACTCAGTTCGTTCTTTGCACGGTGTTCTGCTGCCGCGTTTACCGTCGTCCCACCCAGCAGACTTCCGTAACCATTAGAGGTAGCAGGCTTCTCCTCTTCGGTATCCTTTGGGCTTTCAGCCTCCGACTCCGTATCTGACTCAATCTCCAGTTTAAGCGGGCATTTCATATTCTCCTCGCCGCCCACCCAGTCCCGGACGCTGATGATCATGCCTCCGTGCTCCGGGAGGCACAGCATTGGGGCGACAACCTCACGTGCTCGAGGATTCCGCAACGGCTTGAACCAACGGTCGGCAAGGAGCTCATTGAACTCGCCATCGACTATCAAGGTGTCTATCAGGCACAGCTTGACGGACGAGAAGTTGGGCTCCATGCCCTTTTTATAGTTCCGTGTTGCCATAGGGTCGACCTGGTAGTCATATGCCGCACGTTTGAGCCCAGGATAGTCGGCAATCATTAACGTCGGACTGTATTTGGTAATAAGGTAGGCATAAAGACCGGGTACCTCGACCGCCTTGTTTTCGAGCCAAATGGTGGTGTGCCCTCCGTACACGGCGAACAAGACTCCCCAGATCATGCCGACGCCTTGGCGAGGATCCAGATATGAGAGCAAGGTTTCGCTTTTGGTCGCACCACGACTTACTAGATGGCCATTGGTATCGCGCAACGTCGTGTTAAACGTGTCGCCAGGCTTGGAGCCCGGGGCGGTAGTAACTATGGCGCTCAGGCAGGCCATCTGATGCATAATGGTACGGTGGCTGAGCACAACTCCCCTAAGATCACCCGTTGGGGCCCGAGAGAATTCAATGTAAGCCAAATCGGGTACTGACAAAGGGGGTAGCTCGTCCTTTTTCTTCTGGCTGTAACTGCCAAACTCGTTGGTTTTCCACCACTCAACGCCCTTTGGCCAATGGAGCTTTTGCGTTGTAATGTCGCGCTGGAAGGCTTTGAGGTTATTGTCCGTAGTCAAGGCCAGATGCGCCTGTGTGGAGGTCAGTATGACGTTCAATTTTTGATAGTCCTGAAGCTCGTTAATGGGCACAGCGACCACGCCAGCAATAAAGCAGCCCAAGAGGGCAATGGCAAAGTCAATGATTTCCGCATCACGGTAGATAAGCGCAACGCGGTCGCCGCGGTATAGGGAGCTCTTGTCGCGAATGACTTGGGCGACCTTCTCGGCCCTCGAAGCAAGCTTGTCCCATGTGATGGATGCGATCTCCTTGCCCTTGGCGTCCAAGACCCAGTACGCTCGCCGGTTGGGAAGGTTACGACCTCGGTGGCGGAGGACGACAGCAATATTGTCAAATGTAGACATTTCTTTGCGGGGGTCGTGTGGGTCATATATCGCAAATGGGACTTCGCGTGGCTCGAGGGCTTTCTGGAATTGGATGGCCCCCCCAGGGGGCAGGTATTCATTTGCCGGGAGCATAGGGGGCGGCACAGCAGCGGTGGGCGAAAAGGCATCGCTGGAGGAGTATCTGTGAGGGCCGCCATAATCACCCTGGAGTTGCTGCTCGTGGGCTTGCTGCCCTGCGAAGTCGGAAAAGTAGGCCTGCGAATTCAACAAAGTGTTGGTCCTCCCATCATAGGGATTCTGTTGTGGTGGTGGTGGCTCGGCATAGTCGCCATGTTGTTCGGGGTTGAAGGCATAGTCTCCTGACACCATGGTCCCCGACCTTGTAGAGGTATCGTTGGGACCAGGAAAGAGGAAGAGGGAGTCGTGTCGCATAGCCGGGCGGTGATCAGCCATAGGGCCACCAGGCGCAAGCAAAGTGGCCGAATGCGGCTCCTGGAAGGAGTAGGTAGACTGAGGGCGGTAGTCGGAGAAGGCCATGGATTCCCGGTGGTCAGAAAAGGCCATGGACTCCCGGTGGTCAGGAAAGAGGGTGGAGTCTCGATGTTCGGAAAAGGCGACTGAGTCGCGGGAGGGCGGGAAGTTGAGAGAGGCGCTGCTCAGGCCAGCACCTGAGAGGACGCGTTGGCGGTCGTTGGAGGCACGAGACGTGTTGTCGGGGGGATGGAGCCGAAGGCCTCCGGTTGGGGCTCCCGCCGGCTGGGAGTCTGCAGGAGCAGCAACGCCATACTGAGCAAGCAGTTGTGCCCGTCGCTTGTGGTACCTGGAGAAAGAAGAAGGGCATCAAGGTCAGCGGACGATCGAAAAATACGGATAGCCGGTGGATGTGCGCACCCTTTCTCTGTAATATCACCCTCCTACAATCAAGGCGCAAGTTGGTCAGCGTCAGGTCTTTGTTTTTTTTCTTTTCTTTTTTTCTGTTTTCACAGTCTGTACACGGTCCAAGTATAGAAGCGGGGGATCTTCTCAAAACACACCTCCAGCTCCCTCTGTAGCTCGTCCAGCTTCGCCTGCAGGTCGGGGTTAACCGCGGCCATGTTGGGCCAAAGTGTATTTCACGGGTTCCTTGCGATCGCGCTTGGGGGTATAGGACAAGTCGCTTGCTGGTATGTTGGTGGTCGGGCGGACTGAAGTGGAAGGGCGCTCGACTGCGCCCAGCAAACGAGTGGCAGGTGTTTCAGTATGGATAGAGGTAGCGGGAGAGAGAGAGATGGTAGCGAGCGAGCGGTTGCGATTGAACGGTGTAGGGACACGATGGCGGCGACACGGAGAGGTCGGAACCTGAAGCGAGAAGTGGAAAAACCCAAGTCTGATTCCAGGACAATGAAGGCCCAGTGTACGTAGTGTACAGTCCGTCGCAACCCAAGTTGAGGGTCCCGTCGCGTTGTTCGTGACAGAGGGAGAGTGAGAGAGGGGGAAGTCCAAGATGGAGAATGTCAGATGCAAGGCAAAGTCGGTCTTGGCAGTCGAACGGATACGGGCGCTCCGGGGTGTGTGTGTGGGTTGAGGTTGATTCGAGTATGGAAACGGTCCGAGTCGACCTCTTTTTTCCTCGTATACACTTGGTGTGGTCGGGAAATGGTGCCGTCGGGTTGTGCCGTTGGTGACCGCAATGGAGCTGACTGCCGGGCAACAAGTAGACTAGTGTACAGAGTAGTGTACCTTGGGTTCCTACGCGATGAGGACGGGAGGAGTCGTGAAAGCATGGCAATTGCCCCTAGAGTCAAAGGCATGGATAAAAGATGGATGGAATTTCAAATGGAATTGGCGAGTGGACAAGCCCCCGGAGCCCGTTAGCGGTGGATTCAGGTCCGGTGCACCAGTGAGTCCATCCATGTGGTCTGGGGAACCTCGAGTTCGTTGTGCAAGTGCCTTCCTCCTGTCGTAGGTGACGTAGGGGGCCCTGTCGCTGAGTGAGCTGTGTGTAACATTACTTACATACCAGGTACTGTACTTGTATGTTGCTGCCCTGGGTTCCAAGGACGGCCCCACCTGGAATTCATCTGATGCCCACTTCCACTGATGAGGTTAGGTTGGTAAACCCTTTGCCAAGCCCCAGACGATAAGCACTGCCGGGAGCCGCTCCCGCAGCGTCTTATCAGCGGAGTCCTTCAGCCGGAGAATTCCCCACCACAAATTGGGAAAGGAACAAAAAGCCTTGCAAATTTCTGCCGCACTTCTTCCTGGGCTTCCTTCTCTTCCTTTTCTCCTCCGTCGTCCTCCTCGTCCTCCTCCCCCTCCGTGAGAAAACCAAGCACGGCCGACCCTGTCGCCGCCGTCAACATTGTGTGCCAGCCACAATGCTTGTCCAATATGCTGGCATCGTTACAAGTGGTAAGTCGACATCACATCGTTACAATTTTCATTCTTTCCCCAGTGGCGTCCGTCCATGTCGCCTTCATATGATGAAAGCATACGCAAAATTCACAGACCTGTTCTGAAAAAAATAGTGTTGAGAAACTGCTTAGCTCACTGATTCCATCCTCCATTCCCTTCCCTTCTTACTTGCACCACCACTCTCGCGTCTACTTTCGTTGCGTGTCAGAAGGCATATAGCTAACAGCGTCCTTCTCAAGATCATCATGGCCACCTGCCCGATACCGCTGGTCCTCGCAATGTGGCGTTGCCGTCCGTCTTGTGCGAGACAGTCAGGAGTGGCTGCTACAATGCCGGCACTCTCATTGTCTCCCGCATGGTTGCCAATTCCATTGTCAACGCCATTGTGGCCTCGGTCTCGGCTGTCTTTGCTTATTGTCAAGGACCTCGTTATAGACCCAAAAATATACCCTTCCTTTGTCTTGATCTCCAGCAACGCTTCTTGTGAATCCGCCCCATCCTCGTGTGTCCATATATTAACCTCCCTCGCCCAGCACGCCCTTTATGCCGTCCGTGCAATTTCTCTCAACTATATTTCGTTTTCGTCTTTATTTCGCAACTTTTTACCCATAAATCGCAATGGCCTCCCCGGAGGAGGATCTCTTCGGAGACCAAGAGGTGGAGGATATTCTAAACGCAAGAGGCAATGACGATGGAGCCATGTCACTGGAGGACGAGTTCATGGCAGCAGAAGAGATGGAATCGAATACCCCCGACGCTAATGGCAACGGCAACGGCAACGGCAACGGCGATGGAGCTCATGGTGCAGCCACGGCTGATGGTGGTTCGCAACAGTTCCCCCATGACCAAGCACCTATGGCCCCATCAAGACAGAATGACCCTGCCCAGGCTGGTAACAATGACCAACATCTCAGCCCACACAGTCAATGGGTAGCTGCCGCTCTCACTAATGCTCTGCAAGAACACCCTCATGCACAAGGGTCCATAAATCCATCTGTTCAAGATGCCACTTCGCAGGCGGGTGGTGTATACGACATTCCCATTGACCCACTTTTGTTCGCAGCCAGTCAAGAATGGAATTCCCAAGCTGTTCAACAAGACCCATTGACGCAAAATCCCAATCCAGAGGCGGCCCCTGAAACCTATAGTAACGATAGTAACGGGGTTATAAAAAATTTCCTGCGCGAAGAGGGTTTTGGTACTCAGTTCCAGCCCACGACCTCCGCGGCCCTTGAACAAGCACCCGATGGAGGCCTGGGCCAGTATCCAGCTCCTGGCGGTAGTGTTGACGACTGGCAACAAAACGAGTTTAATAATGATAATCTTAATTACGACCTCGAGGCCATGGAAAATTTCCAGGCTCATTTGGGGCACATGATTCCTCAGCCAGGAACAGAGGCGGACGGTTTCAATGGTGAGATACAGCCCGCCGCCCCTGCAGCTCCTGAAGGTCTGGGTCAGTACCCAGCTCCTAGTGGTGGTAGTCACGGCGGGGAACAAGACATCGTTAACCAAGGGTCCAATGATGAGAATTGCGCTGGGATTGAAATCTCTGTTGAAGGAACATGGCTACCAGATAACCTAGAGGACTATTGGGGTGGTCAACAGGGCGGTCAGGTGCCAGGAGCGGCAGGAGGGGATGGTTTCAATGCTCACCAGATCCAGCCCGCTGCCTTCGCGGCCCCTGAGCAAGCAGCTGCTGACGGCGGGCAACAACGACAACAACCACAACAGCAACCACAACAGCAACCACAACAGCAACCACAACAGCAACCACAACAACAACAACCACAACAGCAACCACAGCAACAACCACAGCAACAACCACAAGACATATTTAATAGTAATCAGAATTTTGGTGGTGCTTCTGTTTCCGATGGACATATCCAGCAATATCCCTCCCAAAACCAGCAATTTGCTGGCTCACAAGCTGTTCCAGAAATCGTTATCCAACAGCCTTCCTCTGGAAATCAGCAGTTTGCCGGACACGCCAGCCAGTTCAACAATGGATACCAGCAATTAGGCGGCGCACAAAGTGGTCAAGGACAAGGAGGCACAGGTGGACCGTTTAACAATGGAGGTCAGCAAATCAATGATGCTGCACAATATGGCCAAGAAGAAGCTGCTATCGACCTCCTTAATTTGGGCGGTGCACGAGCTGGCCAAGTAGCCGGCGGTGGTCACTCTAACAACCAAGGCCAGCAACTCAACAACGGACCAAACGGCCAGAGAGCTACCGGTGGTCTCAACAACAACGGGTACCAGCAAGTGGGCGGTGCACAGATTGGTCAAGGAGCCGGCTATGGTCAGTTTAACCATGGAGCTCAGCAACTCAACAATACACAAAATGGGCAAGGAGGCGGTGGTAGTAGCCCATATCACAATGGAGGCCAGCAGCAATTGGGCGGTGCACAACTTCAAACTGGCCACGGTGGCCAACATCTCAACAATGGGCAAACTGGTCAAGGACAAGGAGGCGTGAGTAATCCTTTCAGTCAAGATAATCAACAACTTTACCAGAACAATGGTATGCAATATGGCCAAGGTGTCGGTGGCCAGTTTAACAATCCTGGAGGCGAGCATTTCAACAACGCACCAACTGGTGGCCAAGGAGCGACCAGGAATGGCCAGTTCAATAATGGAGGCCAGCAACCCAGCCGTGCACCAACTCCTCAAGGAGACACAGGTGGCTACTCGAGTCCTGGAAATCAACAATTTAACCATCATAGCGGTATGCAAAATCGCCAAGGAGGTGCTGGTGGACACGTGAGCCCCGTGAATAACAACCAACAGGCCGGTCTGCCACAGGCTGCCGGAGGTGTTAATCAGCACCTTTTCCCCGGGAATCACCTATTTAACGGTTCACCATATGGCACAGGAGGTGTTGTTGCCCAGCCTGGCTCCGGAACCCAGCAATTTCCTGGTACACAATTTGGTGTTTCGGGAGGTGCTAGCGGCCAACCTCACCATGGAACCCAACCACAACCTGGACATGGTAGTGTCACAACACAAGCAGTCCAGAACAACAACAGCGGAGTTCCAGATCCCAATGCTGCTCACCTGCCGCTTATAGGATCTGCTCCCCCAGAACCACGCCTACCTCCTGTGGTGACCCTTCCCGTTTTCCCGCCCGGTACTCCGCAACCAGACAGCTGGGTGGCTCCGGGCTCCGGCAATGAAGTTGTCAAGATTCGAGCCATGAAATTCCGCAACCAATATGGTATCCATCCCCAATCCGTGTACTACTACAGAGCGCACACGCAGCCCTGGGGCACCGAGTACGGTCGACCGAGCGCGAACTTGTTCGCCTATGCCAACAGCCAGCCATTAGCCAGGGCCGAGCTAGTAGCTTCGAAAGTCTACACTGCATCGCAGCTTTCCCTGTTCTTCCGAGGCGAGGGTCATCCGAACAGGCCCAACAGGCACTTGACCTTGTGGATTCAAAACGTGCCGCTCTTGGTCTCGGATCGGTACGCACAAAAGGAATCAGGAAAATGTAGGTACGAGGACTGCGCGGCGAAACCCGCCTACACGATTATGAAGGGCTTCCACCGCATCGCCTTTGACGAACACTCCCATCACACCGGCGACTACTACGACCCCTACAACAACGCGGGCTACATGCACCTGTGGTGTTTCGAGAAGGCCTTTGACGCCGGCTATCTCGTCTGGGACGTACAAGAGCGGCCTCACTTGTACGGCTTCCGCATCGAGGCGGATGTGCGCCACCACCGGTTCGAAGAAAAAAACAACGCCTCCATCAACCGCGACCACAATCTGCACGACACATACCGACAGTGGAAGAACGAGCAATGGGAGCGCTACGTTCAAATACGACACCAAGAAGCTAGAACGGGCCAACGCTACGATCCTTACCAGTCTGTCAATGGTATCTCCATTGACAACCGTCTCTGGAGACGGCTGACAGACAAACATATTGCCGAGGAAGTCCCCGCGCGCGCAAGAAACCGCGCGAACAGGAACGTGACGGGCAACACGATTGACAATCACAGAGGGGATCTTGAGCAGTTCCAACGTGCTAAAGATGAGGCGAAACCAGCGGCGCGGGCGGCTGGCAGCGGAGGTCAAAAGGGAACACGTGCAGGCCCTTCAACTCCCAAAAGGAAACGTAACAGCGCTGCTGGCGAGGACGAAGAAGATGAAGAATACGAAACTCCAGGCTCCAAAAAGTCACGCACCCAAAATCACACTCCAGGTTCCATGGGCCCACCACCGCCATCCACCCCGCGCCGCAGCACCCGCCGCGCCTCCCAAATCATCGTTCACGACCTCAACGAACAACTCGGCACAGCCGGCGAGTCTCCTCTCACCCGCTCGCGCGCCACGTTTATCGGGCAACAGCTGAACCAGCTCCCTGAGCACCTGCAACAAGACGTGATCAGCCATGCGCCCCAGGCGACCTTGCAGGCCATCTCGCCTATCTTGTTGCAGAACTGGAGGCCCGAAGACTGGGGAGCAGTGCTCCAGGAGAGGGTGAGCAGGATGACGCCGTATCATCAGGGGCTGTTGGCTGCGTATGCGGAGAAGACGGAGAAGAAGGCGCAGTTGGATGGGGGCACGGGGAAGAGGAGGTGGAGGAGTGATCCGTGAGTGAGTGAGCCGATGACAGTCGACATGAGTGAGCGTGAAGGGTCGAGAGAGGATTGCTTAGGTAAGTCCTTCTTTGTCCTTCTTTGCTTGCTGCCTTCGATCGATGTCGGCTTGCCTCTACTTCTTCGCGGAAAAACAAAGACGAGTGAACCTCAATTCGACGGTGCGTTGTCGAACAGCTCATCGTCGCACTTTGGAGAGCATCAACTTCCTCCGTACGCCGTTTATCTTTTGATATGTACTACAAGTGTCGAACAAAGCATATCACGAGTTTCTTGGATACGATTATGAATAGGACATTATCTATACGCTGTATCAGAGCGTAAGACGAGATATAATAGGATAGATAGAGAAAGGACGTTGGGTTATGGACATAGATAGATACCTACGCTCTGCATATACATTGCAATGACAGATTTCGGTGCTGGTCACCTTGAACAACGAACACTGAACTTTAAACATTGAATATTAAACATTTACAGAGCCACGGAGCGATGGTTTTCAATTCCAAACTTATGTTACCTCCCCTTGACATTTACTGCATGCGTATGCTTTTGACCGTAGTGTGTAATATACACTCCGATTAGGTACCTCAACCGAACTCGCCTTTCAACACAGTACCCAAGGTACTCTTTCACACCTCACCACCTTAACTATAAAAGGAAAAAAGAAGTAAGAAAGAAGAAAAATAAAGGCCCAAACTGATATAACGTACTATACAATAGCAGCACATCGCTAAAGAATCGAAGAAGAAAAAGAACGCACAACCCTTTGTCCACTCTATATGACCCTTACATAAATATATATTCTCATACCTAAAGCCTCCCCTTACGATGATAAATCCCCATGCTACCCTCCAATTCACCCCCTTCCCTACACAAAAACCTCCTGCCCCGCAAAACTCATAACCCACTCCACCCCCAACCTGACTTCCTCCTCATGTTCCACCAGCTGCTCCAAAATCACCTCGCCCGCGCCCGGCCCGTCCACCATGCGATCCTTGACATGGATAATCACCACTTTCAGTCCCTTGAGCGGCTGCTCGGGCAACTGCCGCGCCAGCTCCGCGTTGACGTCCACGTCGGCGTTGGAGTCCACGTCCATCATGTCGCGCGTGTTGCCGTTGAGGTAGAGCGACATGGAAGTGGCAGGAGTTACGTTGGATGCGGCGGATGATGACACGGGGCCTCCTGACCCTGACCCTGACCCTGACCCCCCTCCTGACGACGACGAAGAAGAGGCGTTGTTGACACTGGGGTGGTTGAGTTGGGAGAAGTGTACGGCTGCTGGTGTTGCTGGGGGCGGGAGGGGGGAGGTGGACATTGCGTTGGATGGCGATGGGGAGCCGTAAGGCGAGGTAGGCTCGGAGAGGTGGAAGTGGGGGAGTTCGGGTCGAGAAATGCCCATTTGATGTTGTTGGAGGGCAGCGTTGAATGGTGGTTGGTGGTTGGTTGTGGCGCGCTGCTGGAAGTCGTCGAGGGACATCTCGCCCGTGGGAGTGGCCAGGTGGGGCGTGTCGATTCTGAAGCCGGTTGGGTTGCGTGGGTTGACACCGTCGTTTTCATACAACGAGGTGGTGCTTGCTGCTGCGGCGGCTGCTTGCGCGGAGGCTGAGCTGTGGCGGTTTTCGTAGCGCTTGCGGGATTTGGGGGAGATGGAATCTTCGGTTGGATGCCGAGGGTCTTGTTGCTGTGATGAATGTGGCTGTTGGCTTTTGTCTGCTCCTGCCCCTGCTGCTGTCGATGGTTCTCTCCTGGTTCTGAATCCCGGGTGCGCACTGGCTGCTCGCGCCTGGGATGTTATCGTCCTTCGTCGGGTGTTGCGGTCGTCCTCCTCTTGGCGTTTGCGTTTCTTATCACTGCCGACGCTTCCGTAGTCGGAGTAGCTCCGTCCCATGGGGCCAGGTCGAGAGGTTGACTGGCGCTTGATGCCGTGTTCCGTTTCGTACTTTCTGCGTAGGATGTCCATCCTCGCGGCTGTTACCTCCTCAGCCAAGGCGGTCAATTCCTCCATGATGTACCTTGGTGTGAGATGCCCGAACAGACGATCATCCGTCTGGGAATCATCAAAGCTGCATTCGATAAAAATCGCAGTGAGCTTCCCACTGGCTATCTTGGGAGCGGCCTCTCGCCAGATGTTCCGGTTCCGTGGTGACAAACTGACGGAGTCTGGCTCAACGTCACCAAAGATGATAATCTCCCTGCCTGTGGTCACATCGCGGATGAAGTAGGCCGAGCTGTCGTAAACACATACTGATTCATCTGTTGCGTGTCCGCCACCGAGACCTGAGATGGAGCTGCTGCGACCGCCGCCGCCGAACAGATTTCCTTGGTGAATAGACATCCGATCCTGGTCTCTTTGCTGCTGTTGTTGAAGCAACGCGGCCAGACTGTTATTAGCTGCCGATATGCTGTTGTGATGAGCAAGCCCGCGGGGCCCCAGGTGGGACATGGGCGGGCTCATTACACTCATCGGCGTTGCTCCCATGGAGGAAGCATCGAAGCTTCCCGGGCGCGTGACGCTTCCGCTGCCACGATGGCTGTGCCTCTCATAGCAATGACCATGACTGACAGCCCAAACCTTGACTGCGAGGTCGTCAGTGATCTCAAGATAGCCCTTGGAGTCCCCCTCTCCCAGCGCTGGTGAGCCACCCTCTACCAAGCGCGTATACGTCACCAACCCCACTCCGTTGTTCTCATCACTCAGGTTGGGCCAGATGATGTTGTTGAAAATGTGAGTCTTGAAGGCTGCTATCGTGTTGGGTAGGCCGGCGAGTTTCTTGGGTCTGGAACTACCCAGACCTGCTGTGTTGATTACGAAGCCGGAGATGTGATCGAGATGAGGGTGTGTTATTAGGTACGTGTCGATCAGGGTCCGGTGAATGAAAGATGCATTGGCAGACGATGTAGCCATAGGAACCTGAAGCCCTGCAAAAGGCCCTGTTTTGAGGGTGTATGGTAAAGCGTGTTCTTCATCCTCGCCAAGGGTGGCTGGTTGAGTCTTTGCCAAAATCTGCTCGATGGCACTGAGATGTACGCCTGCATCCACGGCAATGACTGACCCTCTCCTCCAGCCCGCAGCTATTGGGCGTACAAGAAAGGCCGTGACATTGGACTCGAGAGGTCCTCCACCAGAGCCCTGGTAAGCTTTGTTAGCTAAAAGTTGGTCCCCAAGAAATTGTTTGTTCATGCATATCGGTGACTTGTTCTGCCGGGATTACGAGGCCCAGTATTTCAATTCCTGCTCGGAGGGGATTCCCACGTGTCCCAGAACATATCCAGGATGGTGGACACGCCTGGATCCTACATAGAGGCCCATCCTTGGTGAAAGTTGACATGTCGAAAACGTCTCGAATGGTGCCCTAGCCGTGGCATATTCGCGCTTTGTGGGTGGTGGGGGTGACAGGATCCCATTGTTTTCCGAGCCGAGACATTGAACAAAGGAATATGAATGAAGGGGCGGTGGTCGAGGCAGATCGAACTACGGCTGCTCGATTTCACAAAGAAAGCGCACAGGCATTCGACCTGTCGCGGACTCTTTCCGGCTAGAGATGAGAAAGAAGGCTGACGGCGTTCTAAGCGGTTGAGGATGATGCCGAGGGATGGGTATGATGGTGAAGGGAGCATGAGAAGGACTTGGATTGGGATGTGCAGTGTAGGTCTTGATATTCCTGTCACTCACCAGAACGATGACTTGCAGAGCCGGTGCCGGGGGAGATTCTTGTTGGCCGCTGGTGTTGTTGGCCTCGCCGGGGTCACCATTGGCGCCGCCGCCGCCTCCCATGACCACAAAGTTTGATTTTCTCTCAAAGGCTGGGCGAATAAGCCGATCAACGAAATATCTCCCTTGGATCGGCTTGGAGGTTTTTGGTGTTGGTGAGAGTGGAGTCTCGATGCTTGTTTTGCGTTGGAGACTTGGAGCGGGCGGGGTCTTGGCTTTGCGACCTGATGATGAATGAGATGGGACCGATATGAAAGCAGATGCGCCTCGTGGATAACGCGGTCAAAGGGAATGCGCGATTCCTCAATGGTTTCGCTTGTTGTTGAGAATATCAGTCCCTTGATGGCGGATGGCCAAGATGCTCTGGTTGACCCATCGAATTACGGGGTTGTTGTCCCTTTGAATGATAGACGCGAAGCCCTATCTTGCTCGGCTTATGGAGGTTGGGGAAATGCGCTAGCTAGCTAGGTAGGTAGGTAGTGTAGCGAGGCTTTGGAGGTGACACCCTGTGTACGTCCGTAATATGTACAGACTTGGGTGTTTGATTGTGAGTGGTACAACAACCCGTAAGCGGGACTCGAGCCTTTTCGTCGTGTATGAGGGTGATGCCCAACTATCGTGATATGGGACAAAGTGGAAAAAGTTAAGGGGGTCGAGGTTGGTGATGGACGGGAATTGGAAGTGTGAAAGTGGAGAGAGAGATTGTGAGTGAATTGTGGAACAAACATGGAAGGGAAAGCATTCCCGTCAGAGGCACTGTGCTTCAGTTGGGTGTCAAAGCGCTGAAGGGATCTCCGATTAGGTAGTGGGGGTCCCCTCGAGGACCCGACCTTGGACTCGACTCGACTCGACTCCTCTGCAATTTCAACTTTACCAACAATCGTTCGTAGGTAGGTATCCATAAAGTTTGCGATATCTTCCCTTGACAAATATCCATTATCATACAAGTCTCTCCAAGATACCGACATCAGACTACATCACTACAGTGGAGCGCATCAGCAAAAAAGCACGTGGCAGCAGCAACATATGTACCATCCTCGCCTTGTCCTGCCTGTCAAATCAGATCTATCAATCCATTGGATCTCGCAAACAATCCGGGGTTCCCCAGATCTGGTACTCGGCAGCAGACCCGCCCACTCTGACGGCAACATGGTCCTGTTCCTTGGACACATGAGCGACCTTTGCGACGCCGGAAGAAGGCCGGGACCTAGGCAAACACATTGTATGGACGGTTCAATATCATGTTCGACGTGAGGTCAAATAAAATCTTTCCGGCGTTGGACGTGATTACAAGCCTCCCGAACCCGCGGGTTCGCCGTACCGTGCCGTGCGTACGGAAGAATATCGCAAGTGTTGCCGAACGCGAGGCGAGTCGGAGGTTCTTCATCCGTTGTTCACCGTGCGACGGAGTTGCCGTCGGTCGTGGTCGTCTACTTCCCGTCGTCTGCGATTCGCAAAGTTCTCACACCCTCTTATATTTTTCTCTGAGAAGGTGGCGTTGCCCCGCAAGACAACAGGCGCCACGGTTTCCTCTACCTTTGGCCAGAGAACATTCGATTCAGCTGAACATTCTTGCCTGCTATCAAGATTCCAGAACAGCATGATGCTAACCACTAGGCCAGCTGTCCCTTATACAAACTCGGAATGTGGTGCTCGGATGGCCCGACCGGTCTTAGGGTTATGCTGTGCGACCCTCCATCAATGGAAATGTAGAATACCTCTTGATTTCGCAAAGAAGTGGCCATTGGTCACGGAATTGGTATCACACGACAGGTCAATATCATGCCATGATGCTCGAAAACTAGGAATGGTGTTGAAAGACTAGTGTAGGTTTTATGTTCCAGGTGACCAGCATCGGAATTCATGGTCCTGGTAGGAGCATTCTTATCTGCCTAGTCCAATCTCAAGAAATTGGAATGGATCTCCTTTGTCTGTACCGAGCCCGCGAAATCGAGGGTATGATATAATATATCAGCAGTGCGGAGCCCGTTTGACCAATGAGACGCCATAATAAGGACATAGATTTTGAAGGCTCCTGCACGAAAGATGTCACGGAAAGCACCAATTATCGAAGATATACAAGGATACACGTGGGAAGATGGGACGGAGTTCAAATATACAAGTGCGCGATGGGATAGAAGCCCCAAGGCCAGATGGAAAGCACACAAGGAACTGACAAGCGCTGGCATGTGCCATCACAGTTTCATCAAGTTGAGGCAAAAGCTCACCAAATATTGTACCGATCATCTTACCTGACCTATTGTTCATGCGTCGCAAGTCGTATCAATATGTATCAGACCTCCAACGCTTCTTGCTGTATACTGCACCTTCTTCTCCGTTTCCTCTCAGGTCTCCTGGTCGATGTAAGCTGGACACAATGCGTCCGTCATCCGTTGCTTGATATTCACTTGCCGATCTCGCTATTCTATTCTATCATCTATCACAGATTCTCTCGCTCTCTATAGGACTTGAAAATCTCACCAAAGACCCGCAAAATCAGCCCCATTACTCCTTCTCCTTCTTCTCCTCCCTCTCCTTCTTCTCCTCCCTCGCCTTCTTAAGCTTCTCATACCCTTCCATACCCCCAATATCCTTCTCAAAGTCCGGTCTCGGAATCTCCAGGCCCTCCCTAACCAACCCATACGTAATCCCTCCCAACCTAGACACAGGCTTATACACATCCAAATCCATCTGATTCAACTCCTCATTCACCGCCCCCTCTTTAATCCAAAATTTGGTCCCCTCCACCACCACCAGCGTCGACCCCGTCTCCCCCGGCTTCGAGCGGGACTCAAACTCCTTGACATGCACCAACTTGCACTCCACCGCGAACACGGCCTCCTTTGCTCTCGGAGCCTTCACCGTCTGCGCATCGTACACGGGCGTCAACCCGCTAATCACCCACTCCGACACGCCCAAGGGGGCGTTGGTGCTGCACGAATTAGCCGCCTCGAGGAACGGGGTGGACATCAAGTTGATGACGCACTCGCCCGTCTCGTGCAGGATGCGCAACGAGTCCTTGGCGCGCGAGGCCGGAGAGAGCGGGGAGGCGAAGCCCAAGGTGAAGAGGGGCGGGTCGTGCGAGATGACTTGGAAGTACGAAAAGGGGGCTAGGTTCTCCGTGGTGCCGTCGGCAGAGCGGGTGGACACCAAGGCAATGGGGCGAGGCACGATGGCGGAGATGAGCAGTTTGTAGTTGAAGGCAGGCGGGCGGCCTTCGGTGTAGGGGTCGACCATGATGTGCTGCTCGTTCTTCTTGGTCTCGGCAGAAGCAGCAAGAGAGTTGGCGCCCGAGCCGTAAGCCCAGTCTGGTTGGGGGGTTTGGAAGTAGGTGAATTTGGGAGAGGGGTCGAACGCGGGTCGAGACGCTTCGACGGCTTTGAAGTCGCCGTGAGGGTTGCGCTTGAGGACCTTCTCGAAGGCGGCGCTCTTTTCGGCGGCGGATGGTTCGGTGGACATTTTGGCGGGTTTTGTGAATCCCTGGGTTGACTTGGACCTTGAAAATTTGGTGAAGAGTGAAGTGAGGCCTGGTAACTGTTTTTGATGGAGTTGCGAGAGAGTCGAAGGTTTAATAAAGTTGGTTGCTGATGTGAGAACCTTGGAGGTCGGCATGAATGCCGAATTGGGAAGGACTCTCGTGGGTGAAAAGGCGAGTACTCGATGACGAGGAGGGGTTGACGATCAACGGATTGGTAATGGTAAGTAGGAACAAGGGTTTCGATCGGTGACGCACTTGAAGTGTTTGTAAGACGTGTGTAAGCCGAAGAATGGATGTCGTCGTCCGTCTGCGATGTAGCGCTATGGTCTCCGAGGCCTGGTATGTTTGTGGTTGGTTACAAATGAAGATAAGGTATTACTGTCTCTTATATAAAATGCCAAAGAAATCCGACCTATATCCTAAGCCGCGATCAACACGATGTCCCTGCCAAGTTGCCATCGTCCCAATCATTCCATGACACCATCTCGGCATTCGGCGGAAATATCTGGGTCTGCGGGGGAAAGCGGGGATAGCGCGGCGCCTATTCCGCTTGTGATTGCCGGGGTCCACGCAAGGCCGGGATTCAATTGCTGGGGCCGGCGCCGAAGTTCCGGACGACGTACGGTGCTCGGCTTGCACCGGCCGGAAGCCCCTGAGAAAGTAAACAAAGGATAGGCGCAAGAATGTAGCTTCTTGGGTGATGAATGACTTCAAAGAGTGATCGCAAAGCAGCTCTCCTTACCCGCTTTTAAGAATAAAAGGTGTGTCTGTATATTATCAATATACCAATCTCTTCGATGCTTCACCCATATCCCTCTGTGCCCTGCCCTCAACGTCCCAGAATATTGCCCACAATACCCGTAGACCACCTTGCCCTCCTCCTGTCCTTACTATCGCGATGGGTATACTTATAAGACCTCAAACTATACCACTTCCCACCCCTATCACTCCGTTCCCCATCCCCGTAAACATACAAATCCGCATCCCAGATAACCTCCTCCACCTCTATACTATCTCCACAGCTACCAACACAGCCATCACACTATGACCTCCTCCCTCCCACCCCTTGGTTAAACCCCCTCATCGCTTCCCTGACAATCCCCTCCGCCTCCGCCACCACATCCCTCCCCTCTCTCCACGTATACAACTTGACCCCCTGCTTTTCCAACAGCTCATGTGCCTCTGCCAATCGTCTCAGCCAAATCTCCAACTTTTTGTTCACCGGCGAGTTCGCGCCTCCTCCTGAAGCAGAGTTACTAGTGGCATACACAGACGCGCCGTTGACCCCGTTCATGGTGTCGTAAGACGTAGCGGGGCGGACGGGGAGGAAGGTGTTGGAGCGACCACCATTGCCACTTCCTAAAGTGCGACTCTCGAGGGGAAGGGGAAGACCCCATTCGTCAGTGTCGGAATCGTAGGAGGAGGAGTTGGTGGTCTGGACGCGGCGAGGTGGGGGGAGGGGTGGTTGTTGGGATTGTCGTGACTGGGATTGGGAAAGGTTGACGGTGCTGGTGCGGCGGGGTGGTGGAGGGGGAGGAGCGGGACCTCTGGATCCTGATCCTGATCCGGACGCTGACGCGGAGGAGTTCTGATGCGAAGTGTTTGGACGGGGAGATTCGCGGGGCTTTGGTGGCAGAGGGGGAGGAGCACCGCCGGTATTGATCTCTGCTGGCGAGCTGCGCAGTGCTGTGGGTTTGGCGGGACGCGGTGGTGGGCCTTTCCTTTGCGGGATGTCACCTGTTGATCTACTGGCATGCATGGCGTTGAGACTGCTGGTTCGAGGGTCATGTACAGGCTGTTGAGGGGGGTCATCCGATAGATCAATTAGATCACCCATGATGGGCCCCTTGGGCTGAGGAGACGACCGTGGCGGAAGTTTCGGCGGCGGCGGCGCCACGTCTCTAGTGTTCGTGGCCGTAGCAGCCCGCATAGTCTGTGCTCTCCTCCTGCCGCTGTCGCTTCTCTCAAGTCCATTGTTCCTGTCCGTAGCCTGTGTGTTCGAAGTGAAATACCCCATGTCCACCTGCTCGGGTGTGGTGACATCTCTGATGAACACGGCCAATATCCTACCGGGATAAGCCAGCGCCAGGTCGGTGTAGACCTCCAGGTCAGCCTCTCCGCTGTCGCCCACAAGGAGAAACTTCCTTTCAGGAAAGTCGCGTAATATCCTCTCCAGAGTGCCCTTCTTTCTTTCGGCAACTGGCTCAAAGATACCCTGCAGCATACCGCTGTACTGCTTCAGGTCTATCGAGCCAGGAGGTAGCCCAGCCTTGTGGAAGAAAGTAGCCAAGACGGGGTACAGTTGCCACGGACTGTTGGAAACATAATGCAGCTTCACTCCCATATTGTGCAGAGAAGTATACAGCTCCTTGACACCGTCAATAGTCTGATCCGCCAATTCACGGACGAAGGTATTCCTGAAAATCTCCCTGGCACCACCATTGATATTCGACCGCTTAATGGTGTCGTCGACATCGCTGATCAAACTGACTCCCCTTGGCTCGATAACCTCGACAGGCTGGGTGGTTGAGATGTTCTCGTTGGCAAGCACTCGGAAGTGTGTCGGGACAAAGTCCAACGGTACGCGAGCGATAAAGTGACCTGACGCATTCGTCTCAATCGTCTTGGACTTGGACCGCTGATCGTTGTAGAAGAAGAGCGTGATGGGCAACCCGACCAGCGGCGTAGCCATGAACGGCGCCAACCGCGCATTCAGATTCGCGTTCGCAGCCGCCAATTCCGCCTCCGTCATCTCCGAGGGAAATGCCCCCAAGCCGGAGTTCGTCCTCACCGGCGCTGTCGAACTCGGCGGCGATGGCGAGCGTCGTTGCCTCATTGCGCCAAACCCATCATCCACATCATCAGCCCTAGGCCGCTCACTGTACTCACCCCTGATAGCCGCTTCCTTCTCGCCCTGTCCTCTCCGTTCAATCTCCCTCGCCTCCTTCGCGATCCTTTCCTCTTCCCCAAGCCCTTCCAGATCAGTCACCGTCCTCCGCAAATCACCTCCTCCCTGTTGCGACCCTGCACCTGCCTGCAGCGCTGCAGTCTGTGGTAACCCGCTCAGCCTTCTCGCAACCCCCAGCACCATGCGATTCTTCCTCGACATCGGGCCTTTAGGTGGCATATATATCCAGCCTCGAATGTCCACATCCACCACGGCTTTCTCATCCTCATGCCTGTTCCACTCCGCCGTCCAGTAATCCCGCTCATCCACTCCAGGGCCAATACCGTTCCCGCCTCCGTTCGGTGTGCCGTACGCATTCCCGCCCAAGTCCGAAGGCCGCCTAGGCAGGTGAATACCCTTGACATGCCGCTTTGCGTACGAAGGAAACAAAATCAACTGCTCCTGTCCCTTGTGAATGATAGGTACCTGCGGGAACGCACCCGGGATGTGCACCTGTTCTGGCGATCCATCGCCCATGTCGCGCGTCAGGCGAGTTTGGCTGTATTGCTCGCGGATCTCGGAAGCGGCCGCTACGCCGGCGCGGTAGACGCTACCGGCCATGGCGGCGAGTTTTCGGCGGCGGGAACCGGCTTCATACGGTTGTTCGTTGGCGCCATACTGGCCGGTGTAGCCGTGGGTGTATGGGGACGTCATCTTGTCGTTGGCGTCGGTTTTGCGCTGCGACAGCGCTTGGGCTTGGCTGTCGTCGGGTCCGTTCGTGTTCGTGTTGCTTGTCTCTTCCCGGTCTCGTAGTAACCGTTGTTGCTTCCAAGGTAATGACCTCCTCCCAACAAGTCCCGGGCCGAGTCCGCCACCGCTCGCACTACCTGTGCCAATGCTCTTCCTGACGCCGGCACCACCGCCGGTCCCATACACCAACCGCCGGCTCTGGCGGCGGATGATATCCACCAATCTCCCACCCGCCTGTTTCTTCCTTCTTCTTTCAAGGATGAATCGGTATATCCTAGTCTGCAATCGAACCTTGTGTCGCGGGAGGGTGCGGTGGCGGAAGTTGAACAGGTGTTCGCGGTATCGGTCGCGGACGGTCGAGGGCAAGAGATATCGGACGAGAGTCGATCGGGTATGTGCGCGAGGGCCAAAGAGGCGTCGCAGGAAGGGGAAAAGCGCCAGTTTCGTGGATTGCTGGGTTGCCTCCGAAGCCTTGCTTGGCTGGGAGAACCAAGGCTTGAAGGACGGCTCGTTGGGAAGGGAATTGTTCGGTTGAGGATACGGGGATTGAGGCAACCTGCGCTATTGTAGCTTCTCTTCAATTCGGTATGGTAGTTGGTTGTAGCGACCAAATGGAGCGATTTGGTTTATTGAAGTATGCAAAGTGAAGAGAGGGTGAAGTGGGATATATAAGAGGTTGAGAAATGCAGGCTGGAGATGCTGAGCTGGTGGCAGTTGACCGCCGTTACTGGACTTGGAGCTTATCGAGTCTATGATTGATCTCTGTGGCTGCCCGAAGCCGAGCTTTGTTCACACGCGCGAATCGAAAAGTGAAAAGCCAAGAAAGAGGTGGAAAAAGTGGATGGATTACTACCCGAGGAGTTTTTATGTCAATTGCAGCTGCCTGTTATTCAGAGACATCATCCATGGCAAGAGACAAATCACTTCCGTTTACGTCACCCGTACCTGCCGCCGTGACACCCAGGGTCCAGCTTCTGGGTGGGTCAGTCGAGCTCGCCGCAAGGCCCCCTGATCCGCAACTCCACACCCAATCATAGTCCCATGTGAAGAGGCAAGTCTGACCTTGATGATCACGACTCTCTTTGCTGAGGGAAGCAGACAACATCATCAGACAGCTTCTTGTTTCGTTTTGCCCATCCGGGTATCAACAACACTCTAGTGGACTTAGCTTGAAGCTCAATTACATTCAGAAACTCACACACACAATCCTACCCCTCACATCTACTTTCTCCTCCCCTTGCCCTTACCGCCCTTACCAGCATTGCCGCCCTTCTTTTTAGGCCCAGCAGACCGTCCCACCTTCTTGACGACCTTCTTGAGGTTCAGCACCGCGCCCTTACCGGCTCTCTCGGCGCTGCCCTTCTTGTACGTCCTCTCCTGCTTGCGCTCTTGCATGGTGTCGAGCTTCTTCCTGTCCTTGTTACTCAACTTGCCCTCGTTCTTGGACTTGAGCTTGTCCCTGACGCCGTTGAGCTCGGCCCGGCCCGCCGCCTTGGCCTTCTTCTTGTCCTCCTGCGTCTCGAACCACGTGCGCTTGGGCCTCGAGCTGATCTCGTCCTCGTACTTGATCATGTTCTCGCCCTTCTTAACCTGCATCTCCATGTTCTGCAGCTGCTTCTCCTCCTTCTCCTCCTGCATAATTTCCTCGATCTCATCCTCCAATTCGTCGATCTCGGCCTGCCACTTGTCGGCGTCCGCGGGGTCGATGATGCGACTGCTGATCTTGGCGCCCTGAGACTTGCCGGCCTTGACGGCAGCCTTGACGACCTTGCGATCGGGCTCAGCAGCCAGGGTGATAGCGGTACCGCTGCGGCCGGCACGCGCTGTACGACCGACACGATGGACGTAGATCTCGGGGGTCTGGGGAGCCTCGTAGTTGATGACGGTGTCGACACCCTTGATATCAAGACCACGAGAGGCGAGATCGGTGGCAAGGAGGAAGTTGACCTTTCCATCTCTAAAGTCCTCGACACTTTGAATACGCTGTGGATTCTGTTAGTATCACTCATCCATGTCGAGCACCGTAAATCGTAAACATACCTGAGCCTGGTTCATGCTACCGTGCAACTCGGCGCACGACAATCCAAACAGACCAAAGATGATCCTCATCTTGTGCGCAATTTTCTTTTGTCTGAAGAAGATAATGACACGCTCCGTGTAGATGGTCTTGCAGATGTGCAACAGATATCCTTCCCTCTTCGACTCGCGACCGGGTCTGAGACGGACAAACTCCTGAACAAGCGTACCGGCAGTCTTCTTCTGCGAATCGGCCATGATGCGCACAGGCTTGTTAAGGCCGGCGCGAATGAGCCTGTCGACAGACGAGGTCATGGTGGCAGAGAACAGCATGGTCTGGCGGGACTTGGGAAGGGTGGTAAGAATCTCGTTCAACTCGTCCGCGAAACCGTCCTCGAGCATGCGATCGGCTTCATCGAGGACGAGAATCTCGATGGTGTCGACGGCGAAGCTGGCAGAGTTGCGCATGTGATCGATGAAACGACCAGGAGTGGCAATGACCACATCCGGGCGAAGACGGAGCTCGGCCTCTTGCACCTTCAGACTGAGACCACCGACAGCCAGACAGAACTTGATGTCGGTATGGCTGGCGAGCTTGACAGCGACAGCGTGACACTGGATAGCCAACTCACGGGTGGGCGTAAGAATAACGACGCGGGTGGTGGGAACCTTCTTGGGGCGGTAGAGAAGACGTTCAAGAATGGGAACGACGAAGGCGGCCGTCTTACCGGAACCGGTGACGGCACCACCGACGACATCCTTACCCATAAGCGAGATGGGGATGGTCTTGGCCTGAATGGGCGTCGGCTTGGTGAAGCCCACGGAAGTAAGACCGCGAAGGATAGGACGGGAGAGAGACATCTCCTGGAACGAAGACATCTCGCCCTTTTTCTTAGGCTGGCTCTCCTCCTCCGGCGCAAAGAACTCCTTCATCTTGGCCTCCTCCTCCTCATCAATACCCTCTTCATCATCCGATGACTGCACATCATCAGGATGCTCAACGGCCGTAGCAACCGAATCATCATCCGACGCATCGTCCTCCTCTTCATCCTCTCCCTTCTTCTCCCCATCTTCACCCTCACTATTCTCATCCTCCCCATCAACACCCCCCATCTTCGCATCCTGCTTCTCCTCCTCCTCTTCCACGTCCGACCCAACACCCATACCAAAAGCATCATCAGCCAAGACACCATCCTCATCATCATCCAAATCCACATCAATCTCTTCCATGTCGTCTTCTTCCTCATCAACCTCCATCTTATCCTCCTCCTCTTTTGTCGCCGTAGTTTTCCCCTCCTTAGCAGCCTTCCTCTCTCTCCTCCTTCTGATAATCTCATCGATATCCACAGCCTTCTTATCCCCGCCCGCGTTGGCGCCCTTCACGACACCCTTGTGCGCGCCCTCGAAACCCCAGCCATCGAACTCGGCGTCCACTTCGTTCTGGCCGTCGACAACAAACTGGAACTCGGTATCCATGGCGCCGTCGTCTTCGTCGTTGTCACCCCAGATGCCGAGGTCAGCAGCGTCGTCTTCTTTTGTTTCGGCTTCGTCGTCGTCGTCATCTTCGGGCTGTTGCTGTTTCTTGGACTTTTTGTTGTTCTTCTTCTTTTGCTTGTTCGATTGTTGTGTGGCCGTCTTAGCCTTCTTCCTGGGTACAACTTCCTGCTCCTCTTCTAATGGGATGTCTTCTTCATTGTCGGAGATGGTGAGAATGAAATCGTCGTCGATCGCCTTGCGCTTTTGGGAGGGCGCCATTGTGGTGGATGGTGTTGCAACGGTCTGTGGCCGTTGTTTGTGCTGTAGTGTTGTGTTGAAGAAAAACGACGGGAAGCTCTCGATGCTGAGTGGGAATTGGTGGAATCGTCAAGATTGTACAACTGATAGCAGTCAGTGGGGTCTTTTTTCGTCTCTTCCTCCGCCGCAGAACGAAAGGGAAAACAAAAATTTGGGAACCATGCCCGTCTGTAACTTTTTCTGCCGGGCGGTCGATGTGATTGGAGGATCTGGGAACCTTATCAGTGGCAGCTGGTCGACAGCTGTGGGAATGGGTACGTACCGATACTGTACTATAGTATACCCGCTACACTACCTACAAAAACAGCCCTGACCATCTCAACTATCAATACTTATCAAGTGAGTACCTGCCGCTGTCTTCGGGAGCAACTCGTTCAGCACCACATTGCTCCAAGAAATTCAATACGTGTTTATGTTATAGAGCCAGAATGACCTTGTCCGTACTACATTAGGAATATATCTATACTTGTGCGGGGCATATGGTCCAACTATTCGTAACGCAGATGTATCAGCCCGTATTATATGATCATACTACACAGGAGCCATCTGTCCCGTCGATACCCAAAATAAACGCCAGACACCTTCCCAATGGTATAATGCTAATCCTAAAACCTTCGCCTCCAAACACCAGTTGCCCACAGCGTAACTTTCTCACATGAACCGCCACATTATCACCAGTGTTACCGTGTTGAGAAGCTTGCCGACGCTCCAAGGAAGTCCTGGTCATGCCCCTGGTCATGCTGGTAAGTCTCCTTCTGCTTCTGCTTCTTCTTCATCTCAGCGCGGATTCGTTCTTTCTGCGCCTTCAAATGCGCCATTTCAACATCATCCAGCAAGAACTTTTGCTCATCGATATCCCTTCCACGTCCTGACGCGGATGACCCACCTTGCGGGTGGAAAGGGTCTCGTTGATATTCGTCACCCGGCAATTCGTGCTCAACAATATAGTATGTAGAATGGTAGTAGCCATCTTTGGTTGGTGGCAGCTCAGCATGCGCCCTTGGCTCCTCCAGCTTACGGATCGCGCCGCTTTCCATTGCAGCGTACTCCTCTGTCGATGCGTATGGTGGTAAAGGACCGTTGTTACTGGCGCTCGGGAGATCAATATCCTCCCATGGATGCCTCCTTTCGATGGGAGATGCAGGCTCGCCTTGTAATTCAACTCCTCTAAGTGGTCTCTCAATCATGGACTCGTCGGGAGGCACTGTAGGCGAAGTCACAGCTGGTGTGGGCGTTACTCGGTTGGGTCCATATGAGACGATTAACGGGGGTTGTGGTCGTTGGGTTTGTGAGGTCGTTGGGTTTGGTCGTGGGAGCGTAGTGGGAACTGAAGGAAGAGGAAGATGTGGCGTTGGAGTTGGAGCTTCGGTTGGAGGAGGGATGGTGTACTGTTCGTAGTTGTAGTAATCGGGGTAATAGCCACCGAGAGGTGCTGCGGAGGCCGCAGATAACTGGGGCATTAAAGGCATAGGGGGTACTCCAAGCCGGCTGTCAAGGGAAATCGAGTCGGCAGCAGCGCGTTCGTTAAGTTCTCCCCTGGAACTTGCCCGCGGCGTTAGCGTGGGAGTGACAGGGTTCGGCCCGTATGACGTAGGAATTGGCTGGACAGTCTTTGCGCGGGCAGCTTCGAGTTCTCGTCCGGTGATGCTCAAATTCTCCGTCACTCCAACCCCGCCTCCGAGCCCTGCTCTTTCCGTACTTCTCTCCCACGCAGCTCCTGTCGCAGCATCGTGACCCCAAGGTCCTTGATTGTATGACCATGAAGGCGAATGTGGCATCACAGGAGAATGGCCGTATATGTCGCTGGAATTGTTTGACCGTACATCATCATAGCCTGTTGATCCAGGATATCCGTCAAAGACTGGCTGAACTGTATCGTATAGGTGACCATCCGACGATGTTTTTGACGACGAAAATCCCCCAAACAACTTTTTCTCGGGACCCTTCCTTCCCTGTCTATACTCGTTCGCGACGATGGCGTTGGCCAGCTCGGCCTGCTGCTGTTTCTTCCGGCGCCTAAAGTATAAGAAGGCGGCCATGGCACCCACACTGAAGCAAGCAAGTGCGATTCCAACGCCCAGGGCGATTCTAGCACCGAGGGCAAAGTGGTCGTCGGGATGTGGCGGAGGGCCTGGGATTGCGGTAGAGGAAACGTCAATTGCGATGACGGTCGCGCTGGGGCCGATGGTGGCCGGAAGACGATGGTCGGGATCGCGGTCCTTGGTCAAGATGAAGAACTTGGAACTTTCGACTCTGCAATCGCCCGAACCGGCTTGAAGTTCGAGCCAGCAGGGATATGTCGAAGAAAAATTCAACGGAAAGGGCGTGGTTCCATTACCTGGGGTCGCATGATCAACCGCGAATTCTGTGATAGGGAAAGGTCAGTCTGTCAGCAACGCACATTCCGTCCGCTGCGATCGCAATGACGCCATGAGCCTCTTCCTCATTGAGGTAGCTTCGTTAGAGGGGAGAGCGATTCGAGCCGAAAGTTTGGGCAAAGATCTGTGACCCAAAGGGCTGGGTACCTTGAGGGGCACCGGGGGTCTTGCAAGGTTTAGTGTAGCGGGAGCCGAGAGTGCTGTCGGGAGATTGTAAGATGGGGAAAATGGGGGGGAGAGGGGAGGGGGGCTTGCATGTGGGCGGGAGCGGTGACATTGTTGAAGCGAGGGGAAACACTGAACTGAACACTCACTCTTTTCCTTGTCGGTTGAAGTGCCACACCAACAGGAAAGACTCGGCTTGTCAAAGGTTGAAGTATAGGTGACGTTGATGGTGTCGAGAGAGAAGACTCGCAGGTTCTCCGTGGGGAATACAAAGTCGGCTCCACATTGTGCAGTTGCGGTGCCCGCAGACAGAAATGAGGGAATGATGAGCAGCGCGAGCAACACCCAGACTGGGAATCCCAGAGATTGCCTCGATCTCGATGGCGTCGTTGTTTCCAGCGTCCTTGCACTCCAGTTCCAGGTCGCCGGTGTCTGTCGAAATGATGCCGCCGTCGTCATCACCGTGGCCAAGCGAACAAAGCGAATCTCTCGTGCTACGAACTCATTGATGTTTGCTGATGGGATCGCGGATCGTTGGATGTTGAGGGGTGAAGTAGTAACGGTAAAAGCGCATGAACAGACGGCCGAGAGCGAGTGACTAAAGGTTGTATGAACGAATGACGGGATCGACAAACTGAACTGATGGTTGAAAGTAGAGTTGAAGTTGGTTAAGGTGAGATTGACAGAGCCAGGCAAAGACTGGATGTGGGAGTTCCTTCCTAGGTCTTCGGTCGCATTGAGACCGAACTGAAGTGGGCTAAATGACAGGGGATTTCCTAGCGCAGATTGGCGCCAAAGACGGGAGGCAGGAGCGATCAGCAAAGATACAGAGTCCCCTCGGCCCTGTCAGCGTACCAGAGGGGTAAAGACTATGTCTAGGTACCTGGAGGTATCTCTTGAGACACTGGACGGGAAGTGATGGATGACTTCAAACTTCCACTTCAGTCCTGCCCCCAAGACCCAAAAACAACTCTCCTTGTCTCTTTCACTGCACACAGCTCAGATGCAAGCCAAGCACCCTGCCACACTTTGATGGACTTGTTGGCTCCTAAATTGGACTTTGGTTCGACAAACTAGAGAATCATCAATGCATGCGCCCCTGAAACCATTCAGCTCACAGCCTCAATCATCATCGTGGTCTGCAAGACAATTCTGACAGTGTGACAACTAAACCATGAGCAGGTCAATCAATCAATCCCTTTCTAACACCCTTCAATTTTCAGCCTCTTCTTTCTTTATTCGACCTCCTTCTTGTCTCTAAGTATTGCCTTTGGGTATCTGAGGATCTATATACCGAACCATCCGGTCCAGGCTCTAAACCCCACCAGGCTCTGGTACAAGATCGGTCATATTTCTCGATGGCCTGGCGAACCCAGGTTGATTGGTTAACGCCTTGCTACTTGAAAGAAGATTACAGTGACGTTACAAAGGGAGGTCGCGCAAAGAATCCCATTCGGGCAAGACTAAACCATGGGGCACATTACCGTATCTTTACAATTCCATTGTATTTGGTCGACATTGTCGTTTTCTCCAGACTTCCGGAGCAATCAGATTCAACACCTATACCACCAGCGCAGTGTCGTCGAGAGGTCCTATCGACATACAACGAACGGTGTGGTAAACGTTGGAGAGCGGAACTAGCGTCTTCTCCGCGTCTATAGAGGTCGTTGATTGGAAGCCTTCATGGCTGAAGGTTAAATCCTTCATTTCTTAGTGTCTTGCTTGGGGGCTAGAAAGGAGTCAAGAGCTCAATGGGAAACGGGAAACGGGAAACAAGTGATTTTCTTTCGCTCCCGTACCCAGCACAGAGGGTGCGATCAACATGCCGGAAGACTCCAAGCCTGTCCGGGAACCCAACTTCCCCAAATATTTGGTGCAAATAGTTATGGTTCGAAGACGACGTTCAAGTCCTCCTTGAGAGATTCTGGAACTTGATGATACAGATGACGGGGCAGCAGTATGTATGCACGTCAGATCTCCGCTCCGGCAGTTGTTGTGTAGGTTTCTGCCGCGCTTATGTGCTCTTCTTCGAGTGACAACAGCATATCCAGATGGCGTAGGTACTCAGCCCTACAGCCGTTGAGGCGACACCTGCATCATCATCTGGCTCCCTCTCATCTGCGCAACCGACACCACACGTACTTCGTCGAACGAGTACCCAAACCATGTTTTCTTTCCCGCACCTTTGCTCAGGGGATTTGGAGATCAAACATCTTTTCGGGAGAGACTTCGTTATCCAAACGAGTGCAAACTATTGCGACATTACACTAGTTTAGCGGCGGGTTTGGGCATCCGAATGACAGCGGTCCACACGATGGACAGGCATGCCAGGGTGAAAACCTCCGCTGATGAACAAGTCTTTTCCTTTTTCAGTTAGGTTATTCATCTACCAAAAGCCATCGTTTTCATCTCGGACTAAATACCAGGATATCTGCGTGCCTCGGATCTTGGACATCTCTTCGCTGAAGGGGCAACTCCTCTTCTCACGGCTCAGTCACCATAGCTCCAGACCTCAAGATTTCGGACTTGATACAAAGTGTCTGTATCACTGTCAGCAAATGGACCGGCTGAGACGATCAGGTTCGTCCAACACCAACACGAAGAGACCTATAGTTGACTTACCCGCTTCAGGACCAGGCGAACCCGACGACCCTTCCATCTGGAGATTGATAATCCTGCAATATTACCCTTCCAGTCAGCAACCGACAACGCGAAAATCCTGACCTCGACAACGAGAAAAAGAAAAAAAAGGGGGGGGGACTCACAAATAAAGTGGCTGCCCAACATACCCCTTCCCCCACTGCGTTACCACCAGCTGCCCATCCATCCAAAACCTCACCTCCACATCCTTTCCACCATTCCTTCCATCCCTCCTAATCTCACACACAACCCTATGCCACTCCTTCTCACTCCCATTCGGGCCATAAACCACATCCCGAGCCATGACCTGACTGCTAGTATTGAACGTGTTAAAGCTGATCTTGCCGCTCCCCTTCCACTCCGCCATATCAATCTCGGGCGGCCACCCATTGACGGCCGTCAACCAAAACGCAGGCCAGGTCCCCTTCGCAACGGGGGCGCGGAACTCGGCTGAGAAATCGTAGCCTGACACTGCACCAGCACCAGAAGAGGAAGAAGAAGTGATGGTGAAGTGCTGCTTGGCGTGGATGGCGCCGGATAGGTACTTGATGGGGATCTGTTTGCCGCCGTGGGTAGCGGGTTTTTGGCCGGTGACGCGGTGGGCGGTTAGAGTGAGGGTGCTTGAGGTGCCGTCAGCAGAGGGGGATATGGAGACTTGGGAAGGGGACATGCGCGCGGCGCCATTGTGGTCGGTGCCCCAGGGGTAGTTGAGGGACCAGTAGGTGTTGAAGGTAGTGGTGGAGTTGAAGGATGTGGAGGGGATTAAAAGGGTCTTGGATGAGGCGAGGGCAGATGGGAAGAGGCAGAAGATGGTGATGGTTTGGAGGAGAAGGGTGAGGGGGTGTTGGAAGGACCTCCTCATGTTGGCGGGTTTCTTGGCGAGACTCGGTGTTCCTGAAGGGTTGAGCGAGTTGGTAAGGACTCATCCAGTTCGGCTGAATTCTGTTGCGATTACTCCCTCTTTTAACTTGACAACCAGGACTTCCTCCGACACTCACAATGCTGTTGAGGGTGGTACTATAAAAACCCATCGATTATAGGATGGAACATCACACGGATGATTTATACCTACCTATATTCCACCATTCATATACATTACCGTGATCAGCGTTGCAGCTATCTCGGCCTCACACTAAACTCACAACCACGCGAGGGTATGCGTCGGACACATACAAATAAAAGGGGAATAACTGGCAGAAAGCGTACTATATAAGTGATAGTTAATGAACTGTGTATACCTTCTCGTCACATCCTGTATTCCAACCCCTTTCTTGCTTTAACAGCGAACCCTAACCCTGCTGATTGAGGCCGCTCACCTACCTACCCTGAACTTCCACCTCTCCCGCTCGAGCCCTGGCGTACTGGACCACTCCCCTGTAGATTCCCCGCGGTGGCGCTGAACTATAAGCAGTGCAGTGACTCCATCGGGCAGGCAAAAAAAGTTGCCCAGATTCGCGACATCCATCAACTTTCAGTTTTAAACACCAAAAAAAGTTCCCGCGACGCCGAGTGACTCCTCAACGCGCCGGGTAACACAACTTGTTTCCATTATACATTTCCCATTCGACGAGACCCTCTCGACATGCCCAGGTCAGAGGAAATGACTGTATAAAAAAAAAACTTATTCGTCCATGCATTACAAGAAGCTAGCAGTCGCTGCCGCATCAAAGAGGATAAGAACCGTGCTGCCGACTCGAATCTTTACCACCACATCCTCGCTCCTATCGCTTAGACGTTGTCTTTCCACAAGAGATTTTACAGGATCTCCAGAATCGTCGGTAGATCCCTCGGTGTTCACTAGCTCAAGAATACGTCGGGTGCCAGACTCTGTCTCGAATCCTAGAACCACTCCGTCCCGGAATCTTCGCCCAGCGAAGCCCACTACTCGCCTCGCCGTCAAGCCTCCGAACAAAGATCGGCCTTCCAAGTTCAAGATCCCAGACTCGGTCTCGAAGACAGTCGCTAGAGAACTTCTTCGTAACAGATACCTCTTCTCCGAATACAATCTCTTCTCGCCGCAACGAGGCTTTCAAAAGTGGAAGAATCACGGCCTTCTGAAGCACACCAAGATCCCCGAGGACTTCTTTAGCGGCCGCATCCCTATCAAGCTCTACCCTTATCAGGTTGACGGACCTCGTTTTATCCTTGCTTCTCCTGCTCCAGAACAGAAGAAAGCTCTTCCACCGCCTGCAAAACCCGAGTTCGGCGCCATGCGCAGCCACGTCCAGATCGTCGCCGCCCCGACGGCCGACACCCCAGGCGCATGCCTCCTCGTCCACTATGACAATCGCCGTTACGTTTTCGGCCACCTCTCCGAAGGCACGCAGCGCCTCTTCACCGAAAACAAAATTCCTGCCGCAAAGCTATCGCACATCTTCCTGTCAGGCAAGACGGACTGGGCAACAACGGGCGGCCTACTGGGCATGATTTTGACCGTTGCCGATGTTATCATAAGCGCAAAGACTGCAGTTGAGGAAGAGAACAAGCTGCGTCGTCAAAAGAACAAGCCAGAAATCACCCATGGCGGTCCTCAGCGTATCGAGATTCACGGCTCCAAGAACCTTGAGCACATGCTGGCTGCTGCCAGACGGTTCGTGTTCCGCAAGGGCTTCCCACTCGATGCTCATGAGCTCCGCGCCGATCCCAGGGCCGCAAACCCCGAGAACAGCAAGCCTGACTACGAGGATGAAAACCTCAAGGTCTGGAAGATCCCTCTTGTTGCCACAGGCATGGAGAGCCGGTCGCGTAGCAGCAGTACCGGCTCGCAGAACCCGCGGAAGCGGAAGCTGAACTCTTCGGAGGAGCCCGAGGTCATGGACACTCTGGTAGAGGGAGAGGACGGAGAGGTTGTGGAAGATTTGCCGGCAGGAGTGGAGGATGACGAGAAGACCCACCTTCTCATGCAGACGATTATCAAGCACATGTTCGACTCAGACTGGAAGGCCGACACTCTTGTAGAACAGCCTCTACACAAGGTCAAGCTGCCGGCCAAGATCTTTCTCCGCGACGATGAAGGCAAGATCACAGTTTACAAGGGCCCATTGCCGGGGAGGGACGCGAACGTTCCTGATATCAGGGTACTTGTGAGGGAGCCTTGGCCTGGTGCGCTTGTCCACCGGTTGCCACCCACGGACCCTTGCTTCGATTCCACATGCTACATCGTCAAGAATCATGCTCGTCGAGGCAAGTTCCAGCCTGCGAACGCTCTCAAATACGGGCTACCCAAGTGGACATTCAGCAAGCTGGCAAAGGGCGAGAGCGTGACGGCAGAGGATGGAACTGTTGTTACCCCCGATATGGTTTTGGACCCTCCTATCCCCGGCCACGGTTTTGCTCTAGTTGATGTCCGCTACGAGTATCTCCTCGATAGCCTCCTCAAGAGGCCCGAGTGGGAGAACAAGGAGATCATGGAGCATATCGATGCCTTCTACTGGATCCTTAGCCCAGAGGTCAAGGATGATTCCCGCCTGAAGGATTTCATGGCCAAGCACAGCTCCTTCAAACACGTTGTTCTCGGTGAGGGAATGAACCCCAACACCATCTCATTCGGCGGCGCGTCTGGGAAGGCTATCATGATGCATCGGATGGATCCCGACCGCTTCTCCATTCCCAACCACAACAACCAGGAAGAAGCCTTACCAGCGGGCTTGGCATCTGTTGCTCAGCTAGGCAAGCCCGGCGAAAGACTACTCCTTTCGCCTTCGGTCGAATTTCAGCGCCAGTTCGCCAACGCTGTCATGGACACCATCAAGCCGATCAAGGAGCTCACTTCCACCCACGCCAAAGCCTTCAACCTGGCGCTCGAAGCGCAAACGAAGGTATCCGACCCTGCTTTCGCCGCCCGCGTCGCCGAGTCCGAGCAAGACATTCCCAACCGGGACGCCGAAATCGTCACTCTCGGCACCGGGTCCGCTCTTCCCTCCAAGTACCGCAACGTCTCAGCCACGCTCATCCGCGTCCCCGGCTACGGCAGCTATCTGTTCGACTGCGGCGAGAACACCCTCGGCCAGCTCCGGCGCGTGTACGGCTACGCTGAAACCGACGTCATCCTCCGCGACCTGCGCGCCATCTACATCTCTCACTTGCACGCCGACCACCACCTCGGCGTTCCCTCCGTTCTCGCCCGCCGCGCCGCCGCCAACGCCGCTCTCCCCGCCGACGAGGCCCCCAAACCGCTCACCATCATCTCCACAACCAAGTACATCGGCTTCCTGCACGAGTACAAAGACGTCGAGCCTCTCGACTGGGCCAACATCAAGTTTCTCACCCTCATCGGGACAGGCCGCAAACCCACCGATGACCCGTCCGGTCCTCCCTCGGCCGACTTGGGACCAGGAAACAACCATTTCAACATGCTCCCGGGCACCCTCTGTGCTTTACAACCCGCCAGCTTCCGCACCGCGGCAACCCTAGAAGCCCAAACCGGCCTCGCCTCCATCGACGCCTGTTTCGTGGACCACTGTCTCGGCGCCACGGCCGCCGTATTCACCTGGCCGTCCGGTCTCAAAATCTCCTTTTCCGGTGACTGTCGGCCGTCGGACTGTTTCGCGCAGATCGGCAAAGGGTCGCACTTGTTGATTCACGAGTGCACGTTCGATGATGAGCTGATTGGCGAAGCAAAAGCCAAGAAACACTCGACTGCGAGCGAGGCGTTGGATGTAGGCCGCAAAATGGGGGCGAGGAGGGTCTTGTTGACGCATTTCAGTCAGCGGTATCCGAAGATGCAGGCGCCTGTTTTGGACGAGTTGGAGGGCCAAGAGCAGAGTGTTAGTGGTGAGAAAAAGGATCGGACGGTGGTTTTGTATGCGTTTGATTACATGAAGATCAAGTTGGGCGAGTTTAAGATGGCGGAGAGGTTCTTGCCGGCGCTGAGGGAGTTGTATGGCGAGTTGGAGAATGAGGAGGAGGATGGTGGTGAGGCAAAGGAGTGATCTGTATGTGACATGTGATGTCGAGGTTGGTCATGGTTTCTTTGGCATGGTTGGGCATCTTATAGGTATATAGAAGGTTGCATGGTCATAGATAGAGTGGTGAAGATGTACGACGATAATATACCCCGGGTTTCTGGATACAGAGATATGGTACCTTGAATATGAATATGAAGGATTGAATGTCAAACGAACGAATCCATCTACCTTGGATAAATATGAGGCTGTTAACGTCAGGTTGAAACTATCACATACTGTAGCACCGAATAATTTATGAGGTTCTGAACTCTTACCCTTCGTAAGCAAATAAAACATTGAAAATATCTATCTACCCAAAAGTCCCTTCATTAAATCCATGTCTGCACATAGGAGACAGAAGAAAAGAGAAACAGATGAAAATCCTCACCGCTGGCGCCGATCATCCTCCTTGTCCCTCTTAGTCCCAGAACTAGACGTACCCCTTCCCCCTTACTATTATTATTCTTCTAATCTTTCCCAACCACTTCCGCGTTTCTTTCTTGCCAGATGCAGATGATCTTTGATACTCAAAAGTTTCAGAGCAATTCGGGTTGGCTCCTCATCATCCTTGTCTCGTTCTCTTCTGTGGCTATGATGCCCTCTGCGAGAAGATGTGGATGAGGAAGAGTTGCCGCCGTGACGATAACGCTCGCGGTCAACGAGCTGGCGGTCACGATCACGATCACGATCACCACCATTGGCGGCCCAGTCTCTAGTATCTGTAACCGAGCGCAAATGCTGTGCAGAAGAGGAAGAATGTGAGTCGTGAGCCTGACTCACCAGACTCTCTCCCTCATGTCTGTACCTCTCACGCTCCTCGCGATAGCGCTCCCTCTCGCTCTGAGTCTGGGCTTCCCTTTCTTCTCTTTGAGATTTACTTGGACCTCCGAAATTCAAAGCCTCAGGCACAGCACTTAGATGACTCCATGTCGTGACGGACGTGATTCCGTTGTCATCGTCGTCATCGCCGTTGCTGAAGTTGGTTACTCTCCGATCAGTGCCAGTGCGGATAGTGGTAAAACTATTGCAAGTAAGCGTGGTAGCGTCGTCAAACTCGCTCTCCGAGTTCGAGTAGGAATCCCATTCTTCCGAGGGGTAGTCACGGGTTCGGACGAGAGCGGTGCTTGTGCCTGGGACTGTGACTGTGCCTTGGACGGCGATTGGAGCGGCAGTGATCTCGTAGTCGTGGGAACCATATTTAATGTAATGACGAAATAGTCGGCTGGGTGTGGGTGCCGGTGAGACTTGGCTGTTGGTTAGGTTGTAGAAGGAGAGGGGGACGGTGTGTTTGGAGGAGTAGGATTCTCGGATTCTGGTTCGGGATAAAGACGAAGAAGGCTTCTTCTCCTCGTCAAGAGGGTCTTCACCCTTACAGAAACACTCCCACTCCTTCTTTACAGCCTTTTCCTCTTTCATCATCCTTATAGTTGGACTCGGCGTCAAATTCATGTCATGAGGATGGTACGGATCGGTCCCGACATCCGTATACAACCACTTGTCGCGCCCTTGAGGTGCGCCTTTCCACCTCAGATATTTCCGAATGGTAAACAGCGTCAAGGCCAGCTTCTTCGCCTTTTCCTTGACCACCTTGGCCCTTTCCACACCCAGGTTCTCAATCCACGCGTCAACCAGTGGATATAACTTTGGAAGTCCCCCATTCTCTTCCGCCACATCCCTTTCGTTCTTGCATGGCGCTCTCGAAATCATGTTCGCCAACAACGCCACCAACACCTCCTCCCCGCTGCCCGCCACAACTGACAAATTGCAAGCAACGCAATATTCCCTGGTATTCCCCTCCCCGGAAAGCTTCCGCTTGGAGGGTATATCATCCCCAAAGTACTTTTCAAACTTCCCCTTCTTTTCCGAGTCCGGGAACCACAAAGCCCCAATACCCGACATGCGCTCCACAAAGTCCCTGGCTTCCCTGATCGCCTGCTCCTTGTTCACTCCGAACTTCTTGAACGGATTCTCATCATCCTCTTTCTCTTCCCTCTCCCTTCGGATCCGCTCCCGTTCCCGATCCATCCCCTCCTTCCCCCTCAACTTTTCATAATCCTCCTCCAACAAAAACGCCCTAATCCGATCCACCCTCTGACTCACTTCCATCTGCAACCAAAACCAACACCAACCCAACAGATAATGATTCAGCTGATTATGTCCCCCCAGCTCACAATACGGCCGCTCGTTATCCATCTTCCTCATAATCCACGGCGGGATATCTCTGGAAAACAACACCATAAAGTCCTCGTGGATCGTGCTCAGGCTCTCCATCGTCAAGAACGGGTGCTCGAAGACCGGGTGTCGACGGGGGTTTCGGTCATCATCCAAAAACCAGGCTTGGGCGCGCAGCCAGTCCGACGCGGGGCAGACAGTGGGAGAGATGGGCGGGGGGTATTGCAGGAGGTCGGCGAGGACGAGGAGAGGGGTCCCCCCGAGGCGGAGGAGAAGGTTAGGCAGGGGCCGGTTGGGATTGTAACGGATTAGGTGGGGATATCTTGAGGGGTCGTAGAGGTACTGAAGGTGGGACGCGACGTGAAGGTTCTGGTCTTTGTCGAAGAATACAGTGAAGTTAAGGGGGTTGGAGTGACAGGTTTCGCCTCGGAGGCAGTGGGGCGGGTCAGGGTCTGGGAAATGGTCGTGGTCTGTTTGACGTCGGTCTCTGTCGCTTTCTCTGTCATCCTCATGATCTCTTGTTGAGTTTGATCGAGAAGAGTGAGAGGTCCATGCCGAGGAAGAATCCTTGCGGTCGGGGCCTTTGTGACGGGGCATCTTGGTGATGTTGGGTTAAAGTCTTTCCAGCTTCCGGAAGTGGATGGTCAATGGGTTATTGAAAGTGAATAGCTGACGATGAAGTTCAACACATGCTTGAGAAGACTGGAGTGTCTCAACGTGCTCTGTAGAATGAAGAGCTCTCTCGAGTATTTATCCCAGCATGATCGAGTTGATTCTCGACAGTGCTGGGATACGGTCAATCTCTCATTGTCAAATTCATTGAAGTTGTTCGTATATCAGCCCTCCTGCGGCAGATTTCCTTTGAGACCCTTCTTACCCGTCGACATGATGTCGGTGGTAAACGGAACAAAGAAACTTATTATCCTACTCGACAACGCATTGTCAGCTTCGCCCGCCTATCATTCTGTAATGCCAGAGAGAAAGTCTCCCTAGACCTGCAACGGGCGGAAGTCGAAGGTACTGAGGGAGCGCAGGTCAATATGTCCATTGTAGTCTGTTAACCGAACAGCGTATCTCTTCGATGACGTTAACTAGACAACGGGAAGCAGCGCGTTGAAGTTGAGAAAACGGGGAACTGTGTGTCTACCAATATTGATATGGACAAACAAAGATGTACCTTCGATTTGATGTTGCCATTGGTCAACAGTCCAGGAACTGTAAGGTAAATGGAATCCAAGTTGGATATGCAAGAGCTAGAAGTCCAGGGAACTCACCAGGCTCTGTGGACTGGTTCGTAAGTCAGGAGGGTAGGGAAACCATGGACACTCAACCAAACCTACACCAAGCGATCACGAAAAGACACTCACTTACCCGTCAATCAGCCCACCACGCTTTCGTCTAATCTCGCCCACCGAGTAAATCTTTTTAATTCTAACATCTGTCCTGATACCCTAGACCTAAAACTCGGTTTCTCGAGGATCACTCCCACAGCATCTAGTTGGAACAACGAGTAATCAGCCGCCGCCATATCAGCAAGTTCATGCTGAACGCCTCTCCCAGCAACCTAAACCCAGCCGCAGAAATTACGAATCTTCCATCCGATCCACGGCACATAGCTTTCATGGGATCGCGAGAGCAAATGCGGTTGAGGTTTGACAACCCAGCCAATGTCGGTCCGCAGCCCAGAAGCGCTGAATCACATCAATACCATCTTATTTCCTGCATTTCAGATAGATCGCTACTTTCACTTCTCATTTCTTCCTATCCTATTCCCAAGCTATTCGTATAGCAATGTCGGGATCAGCTGCGTTTTTACACAAAAATTACAAAAAGTTGGACAATAGCTCGTCTATATATCAAGGGCGATCAGCTCTCAATGATGGCGTTTTGTTTGATACTGCACGAATGGACTTGAACCATGTCCTTCCTTCGTGCTTCTTTCCTTCCGTTTCATCCTTACCAGATGGAATGCATACCCCCTTTTTTTCACTTTCCAGTTGCATAGAAGGGTGGAATTGCCAGGGTGGTCTTTGTCGAGTCGTGGATCTTCAACTGGATCAACTCTTTATGGTTAAATTTAATGTTTTCTCCCCCATGGAGAATGCATCAAACCCCAAGACCTCATCCCCACGCTTGTCCGATACACCGGTACGCTTTCTCCCCGTAGCTTTTCCAATCGTCGTGCACTTCTTCGCTTTGCCTGTCGTGTCCAAGTTCTACAGATATCCTTCCCCACGAACCCAACGGTAAAGGAACTCACTTCACTGATATGTTAAAGAACCGGTCATGTTCCTCCTTATCCCCATCCTTTTATAATAAACTCCAGCGTGTGCCTGACTTCCATCTCATACCTTTTGAACCAAACTTGGTGTGTTCAAAACGAAAAAAAAATCGTTCCCGCCTGCAAAATGAATTGCCGGTAATTTGGTAGAACGGTGTATAACCGTCGGCTCACGAGGACGTGCGCGGTTAATCTCGACAGGAGTACAGCCCAATCTTACCACAATCTGCCTCACTCACGTCGGACACCTAGCCTTCGAGGAACACCAGATGGGAGATGGCCCTTGACCACTAACGGAAGTATAACTGGGAATCGGAACACAAAGAAATCCGGACGGAAAAGCTAGGTCCATAAGCCAACGAGTCAAAACCCTCAACCATCCATTCAACTATCCTCCTTCCGGAATCCGCTCATCAGTGTCATGATAATGAAAAAGATCTAATCCATATAAGGCTGCAAATGACTGTGACTGTGCCTCGTCCATAAGCAGCGGATTGGTGGTAGTGAGAGTGGTGAATTTTTTTTAAAAATAATTCTGGAGGACAGCACCGTCTTGGTAGCCCAACAACAACTTTGGAATGGTGCCATCCACGACAAAATGGGACAACGCTTGGTGCAATTTGCAGTTTCGCTTCATGCTTGAAGAGAGGGCCAGAAGCCAGCGGGGTGGCAGGTCATCGACTTGACGCATTCGTTCCAAGATGAACATAATGACCCAGTTGCAATATTTCTAGTCTTGCTCCGCCACTCGCAATACTCCCTGGCGAGGTCTTCCAAGGTCGGGACGTCTGCGCAGCATGGCTTTGCTGTTGAGCCGGCCGCGTTAGGGGAGATTGAGCCAGGGGCACGACTTAACCCACTCTCCTCGCGCTTAGAATTTAGGTGACACTGTACATGTCTCTTGGACCCAGTGTCACTTCTTGGGAGGCTGGAATCGGGAGAAATGCATCGGCCACCGCTCTGCTCCGTATCGCCATCAACCTCTCATTCCCAAAGTATTTTCTCTCGAGCGCCATCTCAGGCTTGGAATTCTGAAATTCCCGCAAGAACTCACGCTTGCCCCTCGTCGATAAGTCGAGGAGGACTCCAGCGTCATGCTGCGTGCATGGCCGGTAGCATAGTTCTTCGCGCTTCCACCTCCCGGCGTTGTCTTTCTGCTTCCTTTTCGAGCCTGATTCGGGTGGCTTCGGTACCGTCGTCTGGTGGGAGGTGCTCTCTGAACCATTCGTGCTCAAGGGCTTGCCTGGCGGTAATACGCTTATTGGGGTCATACATAAAGATCTTCTTTAGAAGATCCAGGAACAGAGCAAGAAAGCGACTATTTCTAGCAGGGATAATCTCCTGTGCATTGTGTCAGTGGAGCGTCAAACTTGAAAAAGAATCCAGTAATACTGACATCGAGAGGTTTCATGCCCTTCACGAATCTCTTGGACGCACGGGTGGTATCGGGAGCAGGGTAGTCCAGTTTTGAGCGCTTGAAAAACCTATACGAGTTCGATAGCCGCGATTAGCCCGGTGAAACTTCTCAGAAGAATAAGGGGAGGCACATACTTCGCGGCCGGGTTGCCACCATTCCTGGTCATCCTGTTGACTTGCTGGACAAGCGAAGGGTCAATTTTATGGTTGACTACCGCCTCCATCATTGCCAGATGCTCCAGGTTATCGTGCGTCTGGAACAAAGCGTCGCCTGTGTAAAACTCGACCAGAATGCAGCCAATGCTCCATATGTCGCAGGGAAAGGACCACCCCAGTCCAAGTATGATTTCGGGCGCCCGATAATGTCGAGTGCTTACGACAGATGAATGATACTCGTCTTGAAAGGTGGCGGACCCAAAATCGATGAGCCTGATTTCTGTGTCTAGAAGAACCTTTCTATGCACGGCCCTGCGATTGGTGAGCGTGGAAGATGACGGAATGGTGCGGGAGTATGTAAACGTCTGATACTCTTGATTGCAGAGCAAGATGTTCTCGGGTTTGAGATCGGTATGAATCAGGTTAAGGTCGTGCAAGACTATCTTCTCGTTAGTACCCTCTCCAGTAATACAAAGAAGACGAAAAAAAAAAAAAAAAATGCTTACAAGCCACGCTAGTGAACAGCTGACGAGCAAAGGCCAGGATCTGACTGTTGGGAAAGGGCACGAAATTGTTGTCCTTCAGGAAGTCAAACACGCTCTGCCCAAGCAAATCCATGACGATGCAGATGTGGCCACGGAAATCGAAGCAATCCCGGAGATGGATGCAACGGTTCCTATTCTCCTCGTCGTTCGCCTTCAAAGTTGCCAGTACACGAAGTTCTATTTTACTGGCGTCCCTGTACTTCTGCACAGACCGAATGATCTTGATCGCGACAAGCTTGTTGCGCTTCTTGTCTTTGGCCTGCACGACTTTACCGAAAGTGCCTTGGCCAAGCAATTTGAGTATCTCGTCTGCAACAATCGTTAGTTTGTCAATTACCCTCGGCAGGTGACCACAGTCGCTCGACTTACATCTCTCCGTAAGATCATTTCCGGGAATCACAATCATGTGACCATCATCATCATCAACTCTGGCGTTTTGATTCGGCGAAGTCTGCAAAAGTAAGTCAGAAAATGACTACAAGTCGACGCTCCATGGTTCCAAACTTACGTCCTGGATGACCTTGACATGTACCTCGCCAGCCTTCTTAGGAGGATAAGGAGGTGGTTTGTACACTGCAAAGGTATCGGCATGAGCGGTTTCTCGACGCTTGGCCTCATTGGCCTGTTGTCGGGTGAGTTTCCTCCGCTTTGTGCCTGGTTGGGCGTAGTCATCGTTGTAACTATGTGACGAGAGGGAGCCGAGCGAAGTCGCCGTCGTGGTGTGCTGGGCCGAGTTTGCGCTGTTGCTAGTAGACGCGGGTGAGTTGAGGGAATTGGAAGCAGACGGCAGCGACCGCTGTGTTTGGTTCTGGGCAGGAACATAGTTGTCGTGGTGGACAGGGTCGTAGTGGCCATTCGGCCTGCGCCTCTTGGCTGTTGGCTGAGTTGGAGCTGACGGGTTGGTGACGATGTGGGCATTGGACAGGGTTTGAGAGGCTACACTCCTGGTGGCCGTACCCTCGGGCTCGGGAGTGTCATCAATCACGATGACTTCCTTAGGCAAGCCGTTTTGATAGAACTCGGCCCAGTTGGTCTCTCCGCGTCTCCTCTTACGAGTTTGCTGTGAGGCGGGCTCGGACCCGTCAGGGTTGGGGGCTGTCGCCATGGCTGTATGATCGGTCCCGGGTTGAAGGGTCAACCGCTGGGGAGGTAGTTGTTGAGACGGGCACGGGTGAGGGGGTGGTAACGTTCGGGTGATGGGCTTGAGGACGACCGAGGAGGCGATCAGAGGTGGCGGCGCGTTGACTGGTGATTGGTGGTCGACGAGCGAGTACTGGGCCGAAGGAGGGTCTGGAAATGGTTGTCGTGTTCCTGTGGGCGACAGAATGCTGGGGAGATTGGGAGTATTCTGGGAATAAAACGAGGAGGCGTTGGCCTGGACGGGATAAGGCTGATGATGATGCTGGTATGCAAACTGCGAATGGTAGCGGTCCGAATAGGCGCGAGGCAGCGTTGCTGTGGCGGTTATGGGCGTCGACATCGTTTTGTGCTTTTAGGGCTGATCGATCGCGATTCCTTCTGCGTGTAGAGAAGGGTTGCCGGCGACCGGGTGGGTTGTGTCTGTACCAGCAGTTGCGGTCGGGGTCCTTGCGCGCGCGACGGGAGACGGACTGACGTGATGGAAGGCGCGGTGGGAGGGTAATGAAGGAGGAAATCGGACAATGGGGTCGAATGGGTCGGGGCAATGCCCTTTAGATGGGGATGGATTGTGGTGGCCCGGGCCGGGATGTTTTCAGTTTTGGAAGGAAGGGGACTGAGAAGGAGGAGGAGGATGATTCAATGCAGATATTCCGGGAGATGGTGGCCAAGCTGAGGGTTCTTCTTCCCGATGGGAGTGGAGGACGGCCTTATTGCTCCCGTCCGCTGTTGAATTGTGCCTGTCGATGTGGGCGCGAGTGGTAGGCGTGGCAGGCGTTGCCTTGTTGAACTGGTGCGGAAGCTAATCAAGTACTGGAAGAAGTGGCAGGCGTGTTGCCTTGGGCAGCTGGAGCGCAAAGGGGAAAAAGCCTGAATCTTTTTTTGCGTCTGGTTGTCGCAGCCTGCCTGTTCGTGAATCCCTCCTGAGTCTTTGGGCAGACCTCGGGGGAAACTGGAAGGATACTCGTAACAAAATGGTTTGTTTAGTTCGCGATTGCAACCCGTCCGTTGGCGAAGGCACATGCAACTACAAAGACGAGTCTGTGGTGATGCGCTGGTCGTCGTAGCCAGGAGAAGAAGCAAGGGGCGAGTCAAATAAAAAGTCGAGTGTGTTGTTGTGTCACGGGCTGCTGAAAGGCAGCGAGCGGCTAGTATCGATGTACTTGGTGCCCTGCTAGGTTGGAATCGGAAAGCGGAGAGTCGAGTGGCCTGCGGTAAGGTATCGAGGGTTTCAAGCAAGGAGCGCTCCAGGGCAAGTAAGTGTCGCGCAACGTACTAGGTAGTCTAGAGTAGGTGTAATTTCTACTGACATGGAAGAAGAAACGGACGAGAGGACGGAAACTGCTTTTTTCCGTTAACCAGGCAGAGTGCCAAGATCTGCCGGATACAGGAGAACAGTGAACGAAGAAGACGAGAATCACGACGGGACGATGTCGTAACTCTGAATTGGCCCCCGATGGAGGAGAGGGCCGGGGGCGTTTTGGGCCCTTTTACCCTTTGGGGTTGGTGTTTTGGTCGTGTTTTGTAATGATAAGAAGATTGAGGTATGTTGCAGCTTCATTACATTACAGGCGCTGCTGAATTGCCAGAACGCACGACGACCGGGGTAGGCTGGGCCGTATCACGCTGCTGGTACTGTGCTTTGGTTTTGCTGAGCTGGTGTAGAGGTAGTTCCCGCAGGTTTAAGCCCTTTCGATACAAGGGGGATCAAGGCCCTAGATCGAAACCAAGGGTTGAATCTTTGGATTTCCTTTCTAGCTAAGCTAGTAAGTGACAATGCGTATCAGGAGAAGGTAGGAAATGTGAGGTCGTCGAGGTTCTTGCCGGTTGTTCGGAATCGCGGGCGACAGTGTAGTCCGGTGTCTACAGGAGGTACTCGATGTTGTTAGTGAAATGCGGCGCGGTGCGTGCAGTAACGCGAATATTGTGCGGTTTCGACACCACCTGGACTAGCATGGACGCCACAGCCCTGGGGTGGGGAACGGTCCACGATCGTGATAGGTATCTCTGGATTATAGTGTTGTTAAACTTCGATCACTTCTTCTGTCCTCTTCGATTTCTCGTGGTTCTTCCCAGGATTGGGAATGTCGTCCCTCTGCCAGTGGTCTTGCTTCTGGCACCTGTCTTCTTCGTTTTGATTTTCGCTGCCCTCTTTTTCGTTATGGTCGTGAAAAAGCTACAACTCCTGGACTTTTACGAGTCTCCCACCCATGCATACATCGGGATCTGGTTCGTCTTCGTTATCTTTGTCAGAACTGTCGTTGCCTGTTGGCATAGTGGCCACGTTCGATGCAGTAGTTTGATCATTTCCTTTCGGAAACAAAATCCCACTTGGCCGAATTCGAGGAAGCCAACTCTCTTGCTTTTGTTCTCTGCTGTCTGATATCGCTAACTCCATTTGTTAGTGCTCTGCCAAGGTGGAGATGGAGACATTGGATTAACATACCAGACAGAAAACTATGAAATCTTCGAGGACAAAAACTTTCGATGGATGTAGTCCAAGTATCGTAGACAAGATGAAATCCATGAAGTACTTGTCCATGTTGGGCTAAAGTCTGATTCTTGAGAGGTCCATATGGATCTCTTGTGGAAACTGTCACAGCTGTGAACGAAGTAGACAAACGATATGGGTTGATTTCCTATTCTATGTGGGAGCTCAAACTTATATATTCTTCGCTATACACTCCTACTTTTGTGTCCGTAGAAACTTTTCCTTGTTCTGGCTTGGGATTGCGGTGTCAACGCGCTGGATTTGAATGTGCTAGACTTGGAAGCACTGCGTGCCTCAAGGAACGTCGATGTGTCTGCAATATGATCGCAAGAAACTTGCGGAATCTTGGCAACCGTCGAGATACTCTTTGAGCGCTGGGCAGGGCATAACGCGGCGCCCAGTAAGCCAGCATATGTATGTGCCTGTCAAGTTAGTGAAAACTTGGGGAAATTGCCCACCACTCCAGTTTGGGTGCGTCTCAATGTTCAGACACACTGACTGCACAGGTTTGCCCCATGCCCGACGCTCAAAGAGATTATTGAAGGATGCAAGTTTCGCGAGTTTCTACGGTAGGTTTCGCCCGAAGATTCAAGTTCATGGCTTTGGAAGTTCGGCTGTTCGTACAGACTACAGCCTCAAGACCTGTCATGAAACTCAGACCCGCAGCAACATGTACACAACTGCAATTGAACGCATGCGCACTGCAATCCCACCGACAGTTTTTGCCTTGGCTAAGTGCATTTTGGCTATATAACGTAAATCTCTCTTCTTTTTCTTGATGTTGTTCTCAAAGTTTTCGAACAACTTTCTCGTTCTCTTTGTGTGCATGGAAGTCAGCCTGTCTCAGCCGATTGGAACATCCTTGGTTCTTAGCCGTCGTCCTTAAAACGTCCAATCACATATCCAGGACGGATGACAGAGCCCTGACCCGTTTACACTGTTAATTTGTTGTCGGGGTGTCTTTTTTTTTTTTTTTTTTTTTTTTTTTTTTTTTTTTGGGCTTTTAAGGAGGAGGAGGAGGAGGAGCAAGAGGAGGGGTTGAATGCAAGCTGGAACTATACTATAGTGTGGTGGGTAAGTAAAACCTGTGGAGACCGTACCGACAGGGGGGTTGCAGGGGGGTGGCAAGGCCATAGCTCATCGTCCTCAATACTAAGAAAAGACTAAAAAAAGCATTGAATTTCTATAGTAAATACTAATACTTAGTATACATCCTATTAACTTCGATAACGGCCTAGCATCTGGCCGGCATCGAAGCTAAAAGCTCAGCTAAATAAGACTCTGGTAATTCTTCCCAAGCTTCGTTAACGTAGCGGCGGAGCCGCAAATACGAGGGTTTCTCATTTAAGCCATATTTATCCTCAATAAAATCCTTCATCCAATTCCAAGCCGATTCAATAGGGTTGAAGTCTAGAGAAAAAGGAAGCTATTTAATAATATTAATACCTCTATCTCTAATAACTTCCAGAGTAGCAGCGGCGGCGTAACCGGGCGCATTATCTTATATTAAATATAGGAGAAAACCGGCCTCTCGTAAAGAACGGAAATACTTATTAATAACGGGGATAGTACATTCCCTATAGGAAGTAATATTAATAGTACCCCATTCCTTTTCCTAAAAAAAGCCCGGCCCCTTTCCTCTCCCGGAAAAACTACCCTAAAATATTTATCCGGACTTCCTTTAATACTTCTCAATAATACAAGTAGGATTAAACTCTTCTCTTAATCTTCGAGTAACGAATTTGATACGGATCACTTTATGTATGTAGATTAGCTCAGTAGTTGATGGTGCATGCAGGTCGCTTGACCGCCCTGCCCAGCCCGCAGGCTGGGCTGTAGGGTGGGTTTAAGCAATAAAATAAGGAGTGTTACAGTAAAGAGGAAATGATTGTGATAAACAGCAATGATCCTATTTGGTAGAAGATTGAAAGATAAAGAAAAGAGGAAAACTAAAATACAAAGAATAGCTACAACGAAAAGAAGATAACCCTATGCGTTACCAAGGCTGCAGTGCCGGGGCAACGGCAGGCAACGTAAGTTCCAGGTCCAAAATAGCTGAGCCGTGCCGTCATATTACCCCCCCCTCCAAAAAAGACTCGCTTCGAGTCTTTCGTAAAAAGGGAAAAGAAAGAAAAAGAAACGAGAAGAAAAAATATAGTACACGCGCACGAATTAAACCAGCGACCTTCCCAACAAAGGGCATATACCTTCATAGTCAATAGTAGCAGCGCCTTTAGGGTGCTAACCTATTATATACTACACTAACATCCTAATTACTATTATTTAGTATTTACCTCCTCCGAAATAAACTTTATTACTCTACGCATCGCATATCCCCCCTTTTTTCTTTTTTTTTTTTCATATAAAATTCGTACCCTCCTACCTCCTTCTTCTCGTCCTCCTTATTCCTTTCTACGTCGGGAGATCGTTATTATTATATACTAAAATAACCTTATTATTTACTACCGCTATAATCTATTCTTATAACTGCTATAGTGGTCCGGCTACATCCAAATAACTATTATAATATTCCCTCAATTTTATAACAGCGTTTTTAAAATCGCTAATTAAGTATTATTTTAGATCTAGATCCTAGCCTCTCTATTGGATTTAGTATATTAATTTACTTCGATCTATTTTAGATAATACAATCTCTTTAACTTTATATTCTTTAATATCATTATAAATAACCTCGCTTAATAGGTTCTCTACCCCTTACTCTAGTAGTAGATTATTTAGAAACTTCCGTAATCGGTCGGAAGGGAATTAGTTTAATATTTTCTATAAAAATGGAAATTAGACTAGGTAGGCACTACCTTTCCTACCAATAATAGGAAAATATTGCTTAGTTAATAGGAAGTCTAATTTATTGTTTAATTTATCCGTTAATTAGTTTTTTTTAATAATAAATACGCGGTTACCTACGTTGAAATCCGGCTTATATCGCTTCTTATTCGCCTGGATTGTTTATTTCTATTGGGTATCCTTAATACTTTTCCG